TTGAAAGAGGAAGTTAATAAAAAGAAAATACCAGTATTAGTAAGTTAGTAAAATATAGAGGATACATCATTTATGTTTTTTAAATAACAAACATATAAAATCAGAATTTGGTGTTTACCGAAGGTAAACTAAATGCACGACCAAATACTTACCATGTCGGGATAGTATTATGAGGTTTTTTCCTGGGTTTAACCTTATAATTTAGTATGGAATCACTAACAGGAGAATTTTACGGTCATCATGGCATGTGTTTGTCTTTTTAAAGACGAATTACATGCTATGATTTTTTCTGACGCATATTATGCTCAAGTTAAAGTTGATTTCATGTAATCGAATGAACTATCTTATAAGTAAAGTCGTCCCAGGAGCGGATCTCAATCATTTTAAAGTCGTCTACTTTAAAATACACTGCGCTCCAAAATTAACGCATAATTTGAAAATTCTTATTTTGAGTTGTAATGAAAAAATTTTTGTTTGTTCTTTTCTGCTTTATGGTTGTTTTAGAACATCTTAACTCAAAAACTTTTCTTTTTTTTACAAAAAATGTATTGAAATTAACAATATAACATCCTAAATTTAAACAAACAACTGATCGAAACAACTGTACTAGTATCGAATATTACCTCCTCTGGCATTTATTACTGCTTGACAACGATCTCTCATACTGAGAATAATCGTTCTAATTTCTTCTTGATCAATTTGATTTCAAATTTAAACCAACCGCAAAAACAGTTCATCTAATGTGTTTGGTGCATTAGGTAGTTGTCGTAGTCGTCTGCCTATGGTGTTGCAAATATGTTCTATTGGGTTAAGGTCAGGACTTCTCGCAGGCCAATCCATGGCAGAAATTACAACCTCCTGACGATACTGCTGCACAATTCTTGCATAATAATCATTATCTTGCATAAGCATGAAATTATCCCCACTAAATAGTGCAAATGGCACGACATGCTCTTCTAAAATGTCTGTTATATACCTCTGCGATGTAAACCGACCGTGATCTATTCTAACTAATTCCGTACGGGCATCTAAATTAATCCCACCCCACACCATTACCGAGCCGATGCCATACTATACAGTCCCTACGGACCCTACGGTGTTAAACTGTGCGTAGCGTTCCCCAGGCCTTCTATACACTTGGTTTCTCCTATCATCAGAAAAAAAACAGTACCTGGATTCATCGGTGAACAATATTCTTCCCCAATCGTCATTATTCCCATCAACATGTTCACTAGCAAAATGCAATCTTTGCCTTCTATGGTCTTTGGTTAATAATGGGCCAATTGGTGCCCTTCCAGGGTGTAGGTCTTTTCGGCAAGCCTTTTTCTAATCGTATCTTGCTTAATTCTAAAGTTATACCGATCCAAAAATTCATTTTGTAGAGAAGTACTGGTAACAAACCTTTGTCTCACTGTACGAAGTGTCAAAAACCGGTCTTGATTAGGAGTTTTAACCCTTCTAGGGCCTTGACCGGGTCTTCTCGAGTTACTTCCAGTAACAGAAAAACGTGTTAACACTCTTGAAATGGTTAACTGGGTGACGTTAAAACGTTCAGCGAGTTCTACTTGAGTGTATCCTTCTTCGCGAAGAGTAACTATTCTAATTCTGACAAATTTCGATTTTCTTGCTGCTGGTGGTTCATTTCAAAGAAAAAACACTTCGTAAACTCAAAAACCCCTTTAAACATTCAGCACAACCTAATCCAACCCAACTAAATTCGAAGTAAAATGAAGCACAATTAGCATGTTTTTAATTTTTTTTTGTAAAAAATGGTAAAAACATCAGCGTTTTTTACCGTTCTTTCGATAAATTTTACAATATACCGGGGGTAACAATAATATATTAGCACAAAAATCGAAACATTTAAATTATTTGATTTACCAGGGTTTTTAAAATTATGCGTTAATTTTGGGATGCAGTGTATATAATGTATGTCTGAATTGTCAATTTAAATGAGTCAGATAAAATTAAATTATTAGAAGAATTTTTCACTAAGTAACAACAAAACAAAATTTGTTTAATTTACTGTTTGTATTTTGAGAACGATTTTCGAAGTGGCAATTGAAATGTCAATAAACGTACTTTAACATTTAATTGTGGCTTATTCCCATTTAAATAGTAAATTATTTTATTTTATTTCATACAAATATTTTAAAATCAAAATTAGCTAAGTCCTTTTAAAGTTGTTATAAACAAATGTATTATATAAAATTATAATAAAAGTGTATATGTATGTATATTACGGTATACCGCAGGGTTACTACACTCGTCCCGATTTTTCGAGTCACGATAAACAGGATTTCGGGTCCGTGCAAAACATGATACGGAGCAATAAGAATATAGGTACACTTCAAAAACTTGTATGTCGAGACCGTCACGCAAATACGTTAACCGTTAACATCTATATTGCCTTAAGTATACTTAATGATTTACAAAAATATAAACCAAAATCAAGTTCTGCCGTATGCTGATTGTACACCACTTCACTGCTTGAAGTAGAAGCTACTGCTTTACTGTCAGTAGGGGGTTTTGGCTTCTCTTGCTCCTGCCTCTATTAAAACACAAGAAATATAATTGATAAGTATCCCTGGTTGGCGACAATGGCAAAATATCCAAAAATATAAGTATAAAGTATAAGTAGTTAGAAAGTACGACGCCATAAATTTAATATTTACTAAAAAATATCATTTTAAAAGATATTTTTATTATCAAAATCAATTTTAATAATAATACTGCCATAAGGAGATATTTGTCTCAGTGTAAAAACGTTCAGAAAGTTAAATATAAAACAATAAATATATATATATATATATATATATATATTATATATATATATATATATATATATATATATATATATATATATATATATATATATATATATATATACGGTCCGTCCCAAACCCTTTTTTCAGTGCGTCATAGATGATCGAATTCTCTCTAACGCATAAAGCTAGAAGTGACAGAAAAAGACGTGAGTCTGTGATTATTATACATAGAACATAGAAAATTATGTATCGTTCACGAGTATTCGCATATTAAAGCGAATTCTACTTACGGATATATAATTGGTTGGAGTTTAGAATACGCTAAATAGATATCCAATCAATGATGCGCATAAATATAATTTGACGCAGATTATCTTGATCATGAGAATACTTTCACAATGTCAACTGATAAAATGATAATTGTCATTCCAGGTTAGTATTTTCAGACATTTTACAGTGAAAATTTAATTTTGTATTTATTGTCATAAAAATATTTTAAATATACCGAGAAAGAACAAGGACTACATACCTATTTAAAAAAATAACCTTTTCACATTTAGTCGATTACGATCCTGCAACTGTCAGATTTAACTTAAATGTCAAGCATAATTTTCGACATTCTTAAAATCCTATATGACGTCACATTTAGTGACGCACTGAAAAAAGGGTTTGGGACGGACCGTATATATATATATATATATATATATATATATATATATATATATTATATATATATATATATATATATATATATATAATAATTACAGAATGTATGAGTTACGGATTAAACTTACCTTGTTTTCTAATTCAGGATTTAATCTTGGCTTTTTTATAACAAATTTATCCATGATTAATAGTAAACCACACAAAGTTATACTAACTAATGTAAAGTCACCAATTTCACAAATTATGCAAACACACAAGTTCAATTAAGTCTACTGTAACATATAACTATATTTACACTTCTGCTTCTGCACCTGCACTAATATTTTTTTAGGGAAATTCAAAGAACATAAAAATAAATGAGAATTGCGTGATTCCCCGAAGTTTTTTCACTCAATTCACAAATGCATGCGTTACAGTTCTTTATTGCTGTCTAATTATTCGGCTGACAATGTTGCCAAAGCTTATAATTTAAGCGTTCTTTCTGAAAATAATATAAAAGTACACAATAATAATTATTATTGTGTATTTATACATATAATTATTGTATTCTACATATTTAACGTGATAATTTAATTATTAACTTAGCATTTTGGATTTTTTGTATTGTGTGTGAAAAACAAGTTACATTTTTCTACTAGTCTATGTCTATATATTTTTTACTTTACATGCTCTGGGGGGGGGGGGGTTTACCCCCAAAACCCCCCCCTGGGTGCGCCACAGAACCAGACATGGCAGATGTGCATACATGCTACATAAATGGGGAAAGAATCTGTCTCCTCAATGTAACTGTGGGAAGGACCAAACGATCGACCACATTATTGAAGAGTGTCCCTCAAAATCCTATAACGGTAGCCCTGAAGACTTCCTGTTTGCAACTTCAGAGTCAATTGATTATGTTAATACACTTGATGTTTGTTTGTAATTATTTAAAGTTTGACATATACCTAAATTACTAGTGTTTGTAATTTTGTTCTAGTGTTGTAATTGCCATACGATAAATAAAAAAAATCATTCAATAATAAAGGATCTCTTCCTTTTGCTAGGAAGCTCTTCCTAGCAAAAAAGCTACTGTCACTCCTTTCCCCTGCTCTGCACCAACATATTTGGTTACCTTCCTCTTTGGTTGGTTCTACCAACAGGAGCAATGTGTTTCATTGAATACTTTTTTGAACAGGACCATTGTTCAATGAAATAATTTTGAAAATAGGCTAAAATGTGCAATGAAGTCTAGAGAAAATTGAAATTTTTGGTGAATATATTTTGAAAATTTTTTAAAAACATTTTTCGGCAGGAAAACAGTAGGTATAATAAAAAGTTACGTGACGGATTTGCTTTGTGCTGGACCAAACCTATTTTTAATTCAAAGTTATAAAATTTTATTTAAATGTAATAAAAAATAAATAAATACTTTTAATATTGAAAATTTCATACCTTTATAAAATTTTTAAAATTAATTTTACAATTTAATATATATAAAAAAAAACAAAAAAGACAGTTTGCAAATCAATGGCACACATGGATGCATAAGTTAAATAACTCTGTTAGAAAAGAATGCATACTGGTTAAAGCTTGAAAAAATGTATTTACTTATATAAAAAATATAAAATTAACACATAATATTAACATCATTAATTTACTAATAGTCATCATCCTCTTCTTCTTCTTCTTCTTCACTAACATGTGATTCTTCATATTGTGAAATTTGGCTCTGTAATTCATTATCTTTTACTAAGTCTGTCATTCGCAATTGTTCACTACTGCATCCTATATGCGGACATTTTGCTTTCTTCCCTTGGGATCTAATGTAACTAGCTATAGAATCAAATTCATATATGTGGCCACATTTCTTACTTTTAAATGGATTTTTTACTTTCGTTTTACTAATAGGATCCACAGGTGGAACAAAAACATTGGAACAGAGAAGAGATTCATCAATAGTGTCATATTGTGCATCATCAAGTTTTTTGCTCCTCTTTTGAACTTCTTTGACGTCAGAGTGACCTATAAACAAAAGTATGGAATTATTATTTCAATGCACAAATATTTATAAAATATTACACACTATCTCTCTCTAATTCCATCCTTCCTTGTGGAGTACTGAGTGCTTATACATTTCTTGGCCAAAAAGTGTAAGATTGTAAGTGTAAGTGTAAGAAAAAGACAGGCCTGGTCAATGCAAAACATACAATAATAATATTTTTAGATTCGACAGCTAATAATAATGAGACATCAAAAAACTTTTTAACCATATCAACATTGTGCAAAATGTTTTAACATAAGAAATTAACTACTTTATAATCAATAATTTTACATTTATGAAGAGACAGAAAACAATAAGATATGCACCTAGTAGAAAGGGAAAGAGGAATCTGATAGTGAAGATATAGTTGATGATGTCAACAATAAACAATTATTAAATGTCTAAATGGGATGCAAAATAGGTTGGAAAGGCAAAAAAAACAAAAGGAAAATCATATTGTAGTAACTGGTAAAAAAGATTGATGCAGATGAAGAGGAGAAAATAAAATAAAATGTAACAACTTTTATAAGAATACACCTAAACAAAGAAATAAATGTAGAAAGATCAACAAAACTAGGACAGAAAATATATATGCTATAAATAAGAGATAATGCTGAAAAAAATGGAGTTATGCAAAAAAATAACTCTACTGAAAAATGTAAAGCGAGAAAAGGTATTGACCTAAATTGAAAAGGTATAAATAAAAAATGTAAAGAGCTTAGGCAAAATGGTAAAGGGTAAAAGTAGGTATTAAAAAGATCGGAGTACATAGAGCAGAATGAAGATTGGAAATGAAAAGCCCTTTTAAAAAGATTGGGATGCAAAAAAGCAGAGAGTAGCATAGAAAGAACAGAAGTCAGAAAAAATTTGACAATTAGACAAAAGGCACCTGAATTAAGTATATTAGCAATTTCAGAGATCAAGAAAATGGATAAGGCATAGTACAAAAGAAAAATAATCATATCTTAATATATATTGGTGTATCAGAAGACAAAATAGCAGCCACAGGAGTAACTTGTATAATACAATAAAGACAGGAAAAATAGATTCCAAAATACTTTTGAAAAGCTTGACCAGAGAGAATATTACTAATAGTAGTATATGGACCCAAGGAAAAAGAGACCAACAGTAAATATTAGTTTTTGAAAGAGTTACCATTTGCAATAGAAGACACAAGAGGAAAAATATATACTGCAGGAGATTTCAACAACAGGATCATAATAAGAGACCAAATGTACACTCGCCATATAGGACCATTTGGAGATGTGACCAGAAAAAACAATGGAAGGAGATTGCTAAAATTTTGCGCATTAAATAATATAAAAATAATATATATTTAAAAATAGTTCATAGTATGGATGTATGGTTTTGTTTTTTTATTTTTGTCTGTTTTTTATTTCATAATATGAAAATGTGTGTAATATTAACAGTTTATCTTTTGGTGGAAATGAAATCAATCGATATTTCCCTAATATATCTTCTAAATATGCTATGACTTTATGGAGCTCTTTGTGAACAACACTACACAGCAGAACAAACCTACATATAGCTTAAAAACTTATCAGTAACATACCTTTAAATATTGTCTGCCAAACACGACTATTTTGGTGGTTTATTGATGATCCTGTTGTAACATTATCTATACAATCCTGATACAAACTTTCTATATCTTCTATTTTTTCAGGTGAATTTAATTTCTCATCCAAGTTCTGAAAAGCCTTATCAGTTGTATTAAAATTATGTTCCAATTCACTATATAGTTTAACATGAGTTTCTAAAATGTTTAATTGGTTTTGCTTGGTTTCATCATTTTCACATACATCTGATATTAATTTTTTCCATAATTTTAATGATTTTGTAACTTTTTCTAATGTATCTTCTGTTTTTTGCATTGAAGACATTGTGCCTTCTTTATTTAAATGATATTGTATTTGTATAACTATTCAACCCACCCATAAATTAAAAGATGGGAGTTTGCTGTTAAATTAAATTATACTATTTCAAATCTGACTGATTCATAAGATAAGTTTTTTGTTGTATGTTATCAGCTGTCTGCCTTCTTAGCATAGAACATAGTCAACATAGAAAATAAAGGTATGTGCTGTGCGCTGTTGCTTGCTCTGTCCGTTGTAAAATAGTTGCGCAACTGCGACTTTCTACACAATGTTTTAGTGCATCCTACTCTCGCATAAAGTCGGCGAACAAAGAGGCATATTTAAACGTTTAAACTATAGACTATTATTTAAATGAAAGTAACATTTTATAGATTATTTAGTAATTTTGTAATAAAACCTTTTGAATGAAATTTTAAATTATATTTATATTTCAATATAAAATTAAATTAAGATATATAAATAAAAAGTTCTTTTGGATAACAGTGCACACAGTACTCTAGGAGAAACGAACAAACCTTATGTTTAACTTCCTTCAAATTTTATTGATTAATATGTCAGAGAAGAGAATAGTGATAAGCTGCTGAGGGAGTATTCATAGTTAAACAAAATTATTTAAATTTCAATGTATTTGTGAAAATATAGTTATAGGTATTAAAACACAGAAGGTATTACTGCGCTAGGACTAGGAATTGTAAAATTATTTAGTTTTAAATTTTGTTTTCTTTAGTTATCATGTCTGCTGCTGGGACACCCTCCACTGACCCATGGGTGATTTTAGCCCGAGAAAGGGCTAGATATGAAGAGCAGTTCAAATCTTTAAAACCCTCCAATGGAATTATTACTGGGGAACAAGCGAAGTCATTTTTACTTCAGTCACAATTACCACCTATTGTTTTGGGGCAGATCTGGTAAGTGCAAATTTATTGAGAATGATTCAGATCATAAATATTTAATTGATTTGATATGCTATCAACTTCTGCTTTTTTATTAATAGCTGTCCAAATTGAAAGAGCTTATATATATGATATTACTTCTTGGAGAAGAATCATTATTAGGTGACTAATATTGGGAAGTTCTTATCATGTTGTATGTGGCTTTAAGTTTGTTAGGGCTTCCTAAATGAATATCCATTAAGAATGCTGAGTATGCATTCTTTTTCATAAAATTGTTTTATATTGCAAGATTTAAAATAATGTATGGTTTTGGTTATAGTTTTCTGGTTACTTGCAGATCTCAGGATATAGTCTTTTTATTGACTTTTTGTGTACTTTTCCAAGTATAAACGTATGACTAGTTTCAGATCAGGTAAATATATGCATTTATATGAATGAGGCATATTCCCCTTTTCTTTTTAAATATTTTTATTTAATTACATGTTATAATATTTAATTAAATGTTAATTTAGTAACCTGATATTACATTATTTAATTGCATGTTAATAACTGATATCAGCTTCACCAATGGAAGCTAAGGAAAATGTCAACAACATTTTTTTTCAGCTCTATGCATTTTTCAGTATCTTCTATACTAATTTATTAATAATATTTGGTTAGTGTAAAACAAGTGGTTAGTGCAAAAACATCTAATACTTAATTTAAGATTTTTTGCTGGTAATTATTAAATCATAATAATTTAGACATTAAACATATTAGAAAATTATAAAAGGTCACTGCCAAGTAATTTGATATCAAAGTATATTATATTGCTTGACAATGTGAAGTTAATATTTTCACTTAACTAGGTCAGGTATTTAACATGTTTTATTAGCATAAACAGCAAACTCTATAATTCTACTTTGATTTGAAATAGAAGTGAATTCAGCAATTCTTAAATTTATAAATAAAGTGAATTCTTACCAGCAACTACCAATACTGTGATTTCATAACTTTATTGAAGACACATCTACATTCATTGTTCGGCATTTGAAGGTAAAAATATTAAGAACATTCTTTCAGATAAAATAGATATTCACTAAAATTTGGATTAAGCCTATTAGTCTGTTTCATCAAAAGTTGTTGTATGTGCCTATTGGATGCATCTTACTTTTTATAAATGAAAACCCCCTTATGACAAAAATCTAAAAAGCAAATAAGTATATTTTTTATAAGCTAAAAATGTGGTTTGAATAAATATCCTCCTTTGTTCAGAATATAGTTTATGTTTTGCAACGTTTTGACTGTAACTTAAGACTAACTTTGAGGGAAAAATTTGTTTTTAACAACTTTAAGTTTAATAATGTATTTACAATGAAGAATAATCTTTTAGGGAATTAGATTGAGAAATTGATTTCAAAAAATATTATAAATCTGTTTTTGAAAACTATTTCCGAATTGGAAATTGAAACACATGTATATTATCATTTTTATTCTCTTTGCCTTTATCTCTATGAAGGGTCGACTGCCCTAATTACATAAGTTTTTATCTTGGGTCATATCAATATTAATACTCTTTACTGACAAGTCCTGTCTCAGCATCTCCCCCAGGTCTTTTTTGGTCTTCGTCTCCTAGTACTTTTAGGAACCCATAGATTAGCAATTCTGAGTATTGGATGATTAATATCTCTATGTTAAACATGACCAAACCATCTTAACATACGCTCTCTCAGCTTGGCAACAATTGGTGCCACCCCTAGACTTCCCCTTATATACTTATTCCTAATTTTATCTTTTTTTGTCACTCTACTCATCCATCTACGCATTCTCATTTCTGCCACATGCATTTTTCTTTTTAACTGCCCAACATTCCGTACATCATAGCTGGTCTTATGGCTATTTTATAGAATTTTCCCATCAGCTTCATTGAAATTTTTCTGTAACACAACATACCACTCACTTCTTTCCACTTTATCCATCTAACCCTAATTCTACTGCATACATCTCCATCTATTCCCCCATTACTCTGTAACACTGATCCTAGGTACTTAAAACTATTACTTTTCACAATAATTTCATCATGCAAATATATCATTATATTTGTACTAACTCGATCTTTAAATGAACATTCCAAATACTCTGTTTTTGTCCTACCAAATTTTAAACATTTTTCCTCAAAAGCTTGTCTCCTTTGTTCCAGTTTTTGTTATAAGTCACTTTCACTATTTCATACTAAATCTAAACCATCACCATACATCAAACACCACAGAATTTTACCCTGTAGTTTCGCTCTTATTTGATCCGGAACTAATGAGAATAATTAATAATAATAAACACTTAGTCTTGGAGCAATCCTAGTTTCACATGAAATTTATTGGTCTCTCCCATACTTTTCCTAACACTAGTTATTACTCCCTCATACATGTCTCTCACAATCTTTCATATTCTGTTAGAATGCCATTTTGTTTGTAATCTCTCCATCTAAATACACACTGTGAGGAGGAAATTTCTAAGTTATACAAACCTTAACACTCAAACAAACCTAAATACCTCAGAGAAACTTTGGATGCGCATTTAACATATTTATAAGCACCATTTTCGTAATACATAAGACAAAAAGTCGCTAAGAAAATTGGTTGGAAGTGGTCTTCTATGTATGGCATATGGTATAAATTTTCATCACAATGTAGCATTTTAAGTAATAATCTTTCAGGAAAATGGAATTGTTCCGCATGAATTCTTGATTAATCCATGTTTTCTGATCCTTGCTTTAATGACACTATGCTTTACATAATTCTTGATTGACACCAATACTGCATGAAGCCATATTGTGATTAGTACTTCCAAGAGTGGCTGGAACAATCCATCCAAGTTTAGTTTCTTATAGGTGAGGCTTGTTCAATTCCCAAATATATTTTATTGGTATCTAAAAGTTGCCAAAATATATATGTTCCAATAAGCATGTCAATTGTATCTGTATTGCCAATCAGGATCTGCCAGCTTTTCTTTTTGGGGCAATTGTAACTCAGAAATATTCAAAGAATATTGCATGACATACAACTTACACTTTATTGTAGGATATGGGAAGCCATATAGTCTTGAAAATATTATATTTTGAATGCATTGGGATGTCACATTTATTTTTGACTGAAGGAATGAATAAGAATAAATTAGTATTTTGAATATTATAGTTAAATTTTTTTTAATACCTTCAGTTTGCGATCCACAATCAAGGAGAGCGCATATTAATTGAAGATTGTTTTGTTTCTCACAAATAAGCACATATTCAGCTACGATAATATTTAGTACATTTGTGCACTCTTCACCTTCACTTTATTCATTTAATGACGTGTCTTATTACAGTTATGTGTTGTCTCCCGCGTTACACTTCTTGCAGGAACCCCGTTTGCATTTATGTGTAGTGTGCCGGATCCAGCATTGTTAAATGGGGGACCAATTGGCTTAATGTCTAGATAATAAGAATAATAATAGTAGTACTATTTTTTATAATTAATTAATTGTAGTGAGCCATATGGCTAAATCTGGGTAATACTAAAAGATGTGCCTATACCTAACAACAATAATCTGCCTGTTTAATACAACGAAACGATCGCCAAATACAGAGATCTTGAAATTCAAATACGAAGACAATACGAAGGCAAGGTGTACTACTCTCGACATCCAGATGTGTATGAAAATTTTTGGGAGAGTGCTCCAGCATACCAAGTGACCTAGGGCTCGATACCATGGAAAGAGTCCTACCAGAGCTCAATCCTTTTCATACCATAGGTATCTGGTATGATTGAATTTTCCCTTTAGACGGAATGAGAACCGTATGGCTAACTCTGGATAATAATAATAATAATCATGTAGGCGTAAAAATGTAGACAATATTATTATGTATTCTTTTTTTTAAAATAAATCATTTCATAGTTTATCTACTTAGTTTATAATAAATTCGGAGTGGCTCTTTTGCTGTTTTCAAGGAAGTTTTATTTGTATACCTCGTTCATCCGCAATGCCACAAATTTCATCATATAAATTTGAAAACAATTCATTACATTTTGCTTGCTTTCGATTCAAAAGCTTCAAAGCATCATTGAGCATATCACATGCTGATTTTAAATCGATATTTAATGAAAAAAAAAACGACTGTGCAAGAAAGTATTTCTGATGAGTGGATATTCGTCACAAGAAAATCGGTTTCAGATATTAATATATAGCGTCAAGGCATTCGTGAGTTTTTGGCAGAGGTTCTCTAAATTAAAGATCTCTGTTGTGACTTTCAACCCATCTCGTCTCGCACAAACCACTAAGCTGATGTACCATTATATTTTTAAGAACTGCATTGCGTTTTGACGAAACTTTAAAAAAGAAATTACTTCTTTTATCGATCCAATTGTATTTCTCACAGCTGAACTAATAAAGATTTAAAATATGATTGAAGCATGGTGAATAAACTGCATTAATAGCTTCATTTTTGAAGGTAATTACTACACCAACAGTTTCAGAAACTTGAAGTTTAAACTTACAACTTGAGCTTAAAGTTGCATATATACAGTGTGTAAAAGCCAAATGGAATAAATTCATTATTTAGGTTACTGTACATATTTATAAAAAATCACGAAACATGTCAAATTTAAATTATAACTTGACATTCTTTAACGTGAAAATGCAACCCCTACCTTCAACCCCCTTAGAATGACAGGTACAATCCTCAATTTTTAAAATAGGAAGTAGGAAGTATAGGCTTGTGTTATATCGTTTGAAAGTTCTTTTCATTCTCCATTCAAAAATGTTGTCGCTTTCAAGCTTATTAAGATTAATTAAGATAAAATAAATTAAAATCATGTGGTTACCGAAATTCGCTAAAATATACTCAAAACTTACTTCCCGTTTAGGTCTTGATAATGAGAAAGTGAACAAAAGCCATAGCAATGTGGTGTTTAGATGGTAACCATTAAAAAACTTTAAAGAATTTCCGTGGCAACGTTATTTTAACACGCATTAGTAAATTGTTTTATTTAAGTTGTCAGTATTTTAATTTAAATAAAAAGTTCGTTCAATTCAATTCTGAAAAATGGTTAGATTAACGGAAATGCATAAAATATCAGTTTTACAAATGATTGGTTACGGAGATAACACCCAAACACAACAGGTAGTAACTCGCCTATTTCATGAGAAATTTCCTAATTTACCGCCATTATCCAAGGAACAATAAGTAAAATAGAGAAGCAGTTTCGCGAGTTTGGTCATGTAAGGCAGATAAAAAAAGCAGCTGCCAATGCACTGAGTGATGAACTCAAATTAGATGTGTTGCTTGAGTTTCAGGAAAATCCACATACATCGAGTAGACAGGCATCCACTACATTCAATGCTAGCCATACATCGATAGTAAACATATTAAAAGAAAATAAATTGCAACCCTATAAGATGACTCCTACTCAGGAGCTCATGGAAGACGATTTTGATAGAACTTTTTTTTGTGAGCAAATGATGGACATGTTGGATAACAATATTATCCAATTAGAAGACGTTATGTTTTCTGATGAGTGTACTTTTTCACTTAACAGTCATGCTAATCAGCAAAATTGCCGCTACTGGGCCACGGAAAATCCTCACTGGATGAGAGAATACCCTCAAAAGGTTAATGTTTGGGCAGGGATTGTAGGAAACAATATCATTGGTCCCTTTTTCATTGAGGCAACTTGAATGGCAACAATTATTTCGCAGTACTTCAAAATGATGTCATTTCAACGTTGGCAAATTTATATCCTGATCCAGGAAACCCTCAAGTACCAGCGAATACGATAGGGTTTCAGCAGGATGGAGCACCACCACATTACAAACTTAATGTCCGGCATTACCTTGATACAATATTTCCCAATCGGTGGATAGGGAGGCGAGGATCGATTGAATGGCCAGCGCGATTACCTGATCTTACATTATTAGATTTCTGTTTATGGGGATATGTGAAGAGCCATGTGTACAAAACTAAACCTTCTGATTTAAATGACTTACAAGAACGAATAACGCTTGCGATTAGGTTGATCACGCCTGTTATGTTAAATAATGTTAGAAGACAGTTTTATTTGAGATTAGGATGTTGCCAAGACGTTCGCGGTAAACATTTTGAACATCTACTTCATTAACATTCATAGTTCTTTTTCGTGTTCTACATTTTATTACGTTTTGCATTACATTTTAGTTTTTTATTGTATTGTAGCGAATTTCGGTATCCACATGATTTTAATTTATTTTATCTTAATTAATCTTAATAAACTTAAAAGCGACAACATTTTTGAATGGAGAATGAAAAGAACTTTCAAACGATATATCACAAGCCTATACTTCCTATTTTAAAAATTGGGGGTTGTACCTGTCATTATAAGGGGGTTGAAGGTAGGGGTTGCATTTTCACGTTAAAGAATGACAAGTTATAATTTAAATTTGACGTGTTTCGGGATTTTTTATAAATATGTACAGTAACCTAAATAATGAATTTATTCCATTTGGCTTTTACACACTGTAGAATGCTTATCGTTAAAAATGAACACGTACAGTGTCCAGATTTCCTGATATAAAGACTAGTTGCTTTATTCTTTACTGTAACCTGAAAATTATTGCGTTTTGTCGTGGTTTGTGTTTTGTGAAATATTGTCTTTGTAATTGAAAGAGTCTACAAAATTAGTGGGGTTGCACAAAAACGTCTGTCTTTCCCAATAGCTTAGAAACACTTTATCAGTATTTTGACAACACCAAAAATTTAATGGACAATCCTAATTTTGAGTAGATCGGCCTCGTTGCTGTATTGCTTCCAAATGTTTTGAGATATTTTCAACTAATCTAATTTGTCATGCAAACTCTTTTAATATATTGAAAAAACAAAAATAAATCATTGAAAAGAAATAAATATTTAAATAATTTAATATAAAATTACATACATTCAAACTATAACACAATTATTCATTTTTTAGTTATTTTTTTAAAAGGTGGTGACAACATCGTCTAAAAAGTCTACATCAAGGCAAAATATCTATTATTAAATTCAGTTCCTAAAAATATTCTAAAACTGCTGTGCAATAATAAAAATCCAAAATTATTACGTAATAAAATTAGGAAATAATCTGGATTAGGATCTGACACGATTTACTGTACAACTATGAAAAGTGTGTTGTATGTTGTATTTAGTTATTGTTGTATGCGAGACTTAAATCCCAAACTAAGATTACGATGATAATGATAAGAATTATCAAAATGAGATTTTGTATTTGGAAAAGATGTCTTTTAATAGTATTTCTACGGTACTAGTTTTTAAAACTTCAATTGATAAGTTTTTAAAATTATATTATAAACACATACCTACTCAGTAAAAACTTGTTTTTTGTTAAATTGTTTTTACGCTAAATTTATTTTAATTATTAAAATTTTTTACAGGGCACTCGCAGACACCGATGCAGATGGGAAAATGAATATCGATGAATTTTCCATAGCCTGTAAGCTTATTAATCTAAAATTAAGAGGATTTGAGGTCCCTAAGGGCCTCCCTCCTTCGCTTCTTGCTTCTCTTAAAGTTAATACTCCACCTGCGATCCCTCCTTTACCAAACACTGCACTTGTTAACCCTCCATCTAGACCAGAGCCTCCCAAAATTGCACCAATGATGTCAACACAACCTTTAAGTCAACCTTTAACATCGACACAACCGCCTTTACTGCCTGGATTAATTGGACAACCTCCAAGTAATATTACACCCAATACTGTATCTATGGGAATGGTCCAAACTGGGGTAGTTCCACCTACTAAGGGTAATTTTACAAATATACCGAATGTTCCCAACATTCCAACAGGTAAATTATGTAATATATTGTATATTACACTGAATGTATTGACTGCGATATATAGCATCTCCGCTAAAAAGAGTCACAATTCAAAAAATGTTGTTTTGAGAAAAATGATGTTAAAGATTTTAATTCAGTTGAACATGTATTTGTCAGTTCCATGACTAAATGCAAGCTGATATGCTATTTTATTGTAAAATGGAATATATTAGCTTCGTGTTATTGGAGCATTATTTTTCTCAGAAAATTCAATTTTTGCAGTTAATAGTAAAAAAATAGAAACATGCCGATATTGTGAGACTTTTTAGAACAAGATATTATCATCTTAAAAATCACGTCGTTAGAGTATAATAAAGCAAACACAAAGAAAAACAGAAAAAACATTTTTATTTATTGTTACAAAAAATTATAGAATGCTGAATAACAACTGGAAATGTGATCATTCTTTACTAAATCCCAGAGATCTTTTTTCTTATTGTCTTTAATGCTAAGTACATTTTTGTAGGCCTGTTGTAAGGTACTTGGAATGGTATTGTTTTTTCTTCGGCAGAGATCTACTTGCTTGAACTCTTCATCTTTATAGTCAGGTTTTATAATAGAGGGCGAGTAATCTTCAAAGATTTGATGCATGTCATGCCTATATCGTCACACAATTTTCTAAGCGAATAAAAATCAAAATAACCGAGTTCATTTACATGGTAAGGTTCTTTCTTTTTTTTTTTTTGCCAAACGAATAATTTGTGCATAATGACTTGGCACATAGATAGGTCCAGATTTTAAACTTTTCTTTAAAGCCTTCTCAATACTTATCAAATATTAATGTGTTATTGAACGTATTTTAGGGTATTTACCCAGAGCATAAATATACATAGCAATTAAAAATCTATTTTTTGTTGGCCACAACAATTACCTGAAAAGAAAATGAAGTTAGCCCAGCTTCATTATCTTATTAATCATTATCTTAACTTCGATTTATAATAAAAAACAGATACAGTTCCTTGCGGCATAGGAAGAACTGCTTGCAAGTCATAGACTGATACAATATAATTGGTATTAGCCTTCGCCTTTTCTTGGTCCTTTTCTTTTCTCGATAAATCTTTTTCTTCCAAATGTAATACATACCTCTGTTCCAATATTTTCTTAGCTTCTCCTATGGCATTTTCATACGCATCACACAACTCACAGCGATCTTTTCTGGGTATAAAGAAACTAATGTTAAACTATGTGTTAAAATTTTTTGAGAACATCACTAAATTCGCGTGCGGTAGATTATTTTCCTGGCAATTTTGTTTATAGTCAATAAATATATCAGTTAAATTTTTTCCACCTTCGATACATTCCCTATTGATTTGCTTGCGAAGATAGTGGTTCTCAATACGAGGAATCGATCGAATGTGCTTACGAACTCCGTCTTTAATCGATAGATACACTTTTTTAGGGTTTTTGTGTTTACCTCTTAAGACTACTTTCAGGAAACTTTTTCAGCTTTGTCAACGACCGTTCTTGTAATTCGATTGTTGGTATCTAGCATAGCCATAAAAAAATATTTATATACGCGAACTTGCTCATTATTATTTATATGAACATAGTATGCATTATTATGTTGCCTAAGCCTCTCTGCACTGCTGTAGCTGTACGCTGGTTTGACTGGTTTCATGCATTTGTGAATGAAATCCCTCTATTTATATTTTCCAGGGCCCAATATTTTTGAAAATTACCTTTCCTGGTATTTTCATCTATTTTATTAGATCATTTTAGCCGGCATCTATCTCCACAAGTAGGTCTGATACTCCTGGCAACAATAGATTTTTGTGATTTAGATCTTGAGGTATATGCTTGGCCAGACTTTCGTAATTTCTTGGCTTTTGTGTTTGCTGGTTGGTTTTCTGCTAGTTGAGTATTTGGTACTTCAGGTCCTGATTCTTGTAAATTTGCTGTTAGAGTGTCTGCAACTTCAACGTCTGGTACTTGAATGCTTGCTGCTGGAGTATTTACTGCTTGAAAGTCTGCAAGTGGAGTGTTAGCTACCTGGCTTACATTGTGTGAATTCGACAAGAAACCATTGCAACCTGGACTATAACTACTGCTTGAGCTAGAACTATCACTTGATGTAGAAGAGGAGGACGAACTAGAGCTATTACAATCTGATTCATAGTATGGATCTTTTATGGAATCATCATCATTATCGCTTACAAAGTCCGAGATTTGGAGTTCGTCTTTCCGTTCTGGTGAAAGGCCAACCCGTAATAATGATGTACCAGGCTTATTATTATCGTTATCCGTAGCTACAACATAGTTTACATTATCATAAGAAACAAGTGCAGCATTTTCCTCTTCTAAAAGATGTCTTTCTGAGATTTCTGAAAAAGAATAAACATTATTATAGCTAAAATAAAAACTTTAGGCACGCTATTTTTTATTTTTCAATATCAGATTACCTGAGTTTCGCACTTGATTTGGTGCATAACGCTATGATTTTATTTTCTTCACAAGGGCCATAATTCTGCTTATCCTTGAACTCGATGAACTTTGCATATTATGAAACCAGCCTGTTTGCTTCAACAAAAATAATAATAAATAAAAAAGGAAGGATAACTTAGTCATGAACAAGAAACTAACAGTCAATAATTAAAAAAAAGCGTCATAATTAAAAAAGAAACATCAGTGGATTTGAAAATCGTATGTGCCGGTTCTCCAAAACAGTCATATTCCAAAAATAGTTTGAAAAATATACTTACATATTCAAAAAAACTGGCTGAACTCAAAATGTAATACTCTTCCGCACCATGCAAAAGTACTTTCCTCGTTTACAACTTCGAAAAAACTGTTACAAAACAAAAAAGAACAGTATTTTACTTATTGCAATAATCAGATATAACTAATAATTCACACAAAAACTGTTACAATTCTAGATGTGACTCTTTTCAGGATTAAGCACTACGTGTAGACTGTTATAAAGTCAAAGGTGATACTGTAGCGGAATGCATGCTGAGCTAACCTGTAAAAAACAAAAGTGTCACATCACCACCTCACGATAAATAGTTCAAATATAAGAGTGACGCTTTTATGGAAGAAAGTACGACTTATTTTAATACTTGTAGCATGGTCATCCCAATAATGGCTATTTTTGAGTTGTGACTCTTTTTTAGCGGAGGTGCGATATGTATATACAGGGTGTTGTAGTTTTCTTTGATTAAGCTAAACCATGGAGTACCTATATAAAAAAATGTTTCAACATTTTGAACAGAATGAACCAAAGTTGTTTTTTTTTAAATACAGCACCCTGTATATTAAAGAATTTTTGAATATATTATTAAAAAATATGAAGAGTTTATAAAAGGTTTTATGTGCCTAAAGTTATCAATTTTTTAAATATTTATACTTTTTTTTTGAGAAAAACGGTAATATTTAAAGAGATGTTGATTAAGTTTTCAAGGTAAAAAAATGTAAATGCTCTCAATTTTTTTTTTTTCATTTTTTTCAATAGTAAATCATCAAAATAGTATGAAACTTTCTATTTATGTGCAGCTTTTAAAGAAATAAATATAATGTTAGTTTCTTACTAACATATTTTACTTTTAGGAATTATTCCACCGATGCAATCCACAGTACCTCTTGTTCAGCCTCTCATAGACGCTGCACCATCAATGGCTTCCACTGCCCCATTAGTTTCTGGAATCCCGCTCTCTTCTTCCACAATTCAACCGATAATGTCCAGTGCTCCGTTAGTATCAGGTGTACCTTTAACTGCTTCTTCAATTGCCCCAACCATTCCACCTATTAGCTCGGTACTGCCGCCTAATCTATCTAGTGGACCAGGAATCCCGCCACCCATACCAAATATACCATCAGTACCTGTAAATACAGTTGCGCCTTTGCCCGCCCCAGGTATGTCTCCTATTACTAGTCAACCTGTTGGAGTTGTGGGCAGACCGGGAGCTACCAGTACGCCTAGAGCTAGTGTCACGAGCTTGGAGAGAACTCATTCAATTGAATCAACTTCGTAAGTATTTTTAAGACTTGTTGATTTACATATGGTAAGATACATATTTGCAAGATGAACATCGTTTGTAAGAAAATAATTAACTGTCATTTGGGTAATTAATACTAAAGTTGTACAAGAACGAAAACTTTGGTTTTAAAAAAGAAAGCTTTCAAAAGCACGGCTACTTACTATCTCCTGAATTTCAATATTTCTCTTTTATTAATATGTGTATGTTGAATATATTTTTATGGAAAACTCATAAACTCGTAAGATATATGAAATTTTTGCAATATTAAAAAAAAGTAAAAGCAATTTTTTAAAATCTAATAAATTTATATAAACTATTAGCCGAAATTAAGATCAAGCTCAATTTCATCATCCTCGTCTGATATGTTAGAATCTTCGGACTTTTTTTTTACGTGTCCTTGCATCAATGGAGTACATTCCAGTTACATTCGCTTTTACGATTCAAATATTACGCATGTACTATTTTTTTCTTTTATACATTGAGATGAAACTGTAGCTACCACTAACATCTATTTCTTTGGTTTTTAATTAGGTTGACTGTACTAATGATGCTTGAGATCTGTGAGATTTTATTATTTGTTTATGTTTTGCGTTATATTCATGAAGTTTCAATACCTGAATCTCCGATTTTAGTGAACTAACAAAACTTTGAATCGTTATCACTAAAAACACATTTAAAAGTTGATTTCCATTCTTTGCGATATTTTTAGATTATCTTGATACAAATTTTCTTTTTTGAGTGGGTCGATGAACTCTGGCCCTGTTCACAATCGCTTTCATCCAATATTAGTTACGAGAATTCTGCAAGTAAAAAAATACTTGCTGTTATACCTAAGTATACGTATTAATAAAACAAAAGTTGTAATTATCGTACAAATACTATTGTATAAACTTATTAAATAACTACGGTAATAAAAAACGTGTTGAGTATTTAATTGCATTATTTAGTTGTGTGAAACCAATCTTGACGATGTTGACAAATTGAGGAATTGTTTACATTTTGCGATAAAAATTTACTTTTTATTGACGAAATGATTGAAACTGCCGTTTCGGTTAAACAATATTTCGGTTAAGGGAGATTTTACTGTAAATCACATGATTGAGTAGAAAAACTGTAAATATTTTTTAGAGTTTTCTGACAAATCACATTTTGAGTATAGCTAGCTACCTATGAATTGTAGTCTGGGGTCCTTAGCCTCCGTACTCAGATCATCCGCTCTCGGACTTGTATACTCCGAACACAATATACTGTAAACACACGAAGATTATTGACACCCAATTAAACCAGACCAATGATATCGGGTACAATTAGATCCTCATCGAACTCTGGCTTCCCATTCTGAGTCACATTCCACCGCCGAAACTGCGAGGAAGTCATTGTCTTATCAGAGAATATCGAAAAATCGAGGCTAACCATCAACTACCCATCCACCATGATAAGTTTGATATCGAAATAAACAGACTGCGCCCCAGATACCCTCGATTGCTAAGAGCCAACTCCTTACATCAGGAACATTTCAACCTAACCAAAACTTGGAGAAGACAAAGGGAGAGCGACTCACCATAGGAAGCACACCAAATAGCCTGTATCTATTAGAAACCGCCAGGCTTTGAAGAACCGACCCGCAATACATGGACAACACTAAACAGAATAAGACCAAGCAGCGGTAGATGTGCTGACAGCTTATATAGATGGGTAAAAGTCATTCTCCTGAGTGTGACTGTGGTGCGCAACGACAGACCGTCCGTCACGTTGTTGAAGAATGCCCCCGAAGGCGATTCCCTGGAGTTTTCGATGAGTTCTTGAATGCGACTGAAAATGTTTTACATTATATTAATAATACATTAGATGTTCATTTGTAATACTCCATGTAACGTTTTATATTGATTTTTAATTATGTGTTCTTATTGTATGCCCTACTATAAATAAAATAAATAAATATGAATTGTAGTAAAATAAAAGTTTCATGTTTTCTTAAATACCTATAAACACCGTATTTTAATTTCACCGTAATTTTACTTGTCTAAATTGATCATTACAGAGAGATCTTTGTTCATTTTCTGTATGTAAAAAAAACAAAACTTGTACTCGTCTTGAAAATAAAGGTCTGATATCATTTTAGAAGTCAACCAGAGTGGTCTGTTCCACATCAAACCAAGTTGAAATATACCCAAATATTTAACACAACCGATAGGACGCGTACAGGATTTTTGTCAGGAGCACAAGCTAGGAACGTCATGGTACAAACAAAATTACCACAAAATATTTTGGCCGTAATTTGGTAAGTATATTTTTATATATATGGCATTTTGTGACATTATTTGAAAATGCATTATCGAAGATGACATGTCCTCGTATTTTTCTCTTCAACTGTCTACAGTCGCTCTCTCAGCTTTGATATTGTCTGCTGCACTTGCAGTCGACATGTTAGGAACAACAAATTCAGGAACATGGCGTATAAACTTTCGAGTACATTTCCTTTAGGTTTTCTATCTTTATGTCTATATCTTTTATCCTTATATATCTTTTTAATATTACTAATTATTTTAACGATTTTGACTTCATTATTATCTTAATACTATCACTACTAAATTCTTTTTAGCTAATTAATTGTGATGATTTTAGGGCCTTATCGGATATGGACGCCGATGGCCGCTTAGGATGTGAAGAATTCGTCTTGGCAATGCACTTATGCGAACAGGCATCGTTAGGACATGCACCGCCTTCAAGATTACCACCGGACCTTATACCTCCTTCCTTTAGAAGAACTAGAACAACATCAATTTCTAGTCAAGGAAGTGCTCCACCAGATCAAGATCCAGCTTCCACTTTATTACAAAGTAAGAATATTTAAAATTAATATATTTGTAATGAATTGTTCCAACTGCTTGAAAAATTACCCACAAACGGACATCTACACATTTATTAGTCAATGAGGACCTATTGAATTTGAACGATTTTTCAAATCGTCTCTATGTCACGCCAAAAAAGCACATCAATTATAATAATATACAGAGTGTACTAAGAAAAATCTGATTTCACCTTTTACATATATTTCTTTTATCGTTTCCTACTTTTTTCGTTTACCATCTTTTCCTCCCATCAATATTTTCTTTGAATTCCTATCTGAATACATTCGGTAAATAACTTATTATACAACACTATCACCTCTGTTCATTTTTCTGCTCTATGAATCGCCGTTATATTTAGTCCTATCATATATACAGCATCTTTTCAATCGTTGTATATTTGTCTTACTTAATATCAAACTTCAAATTACTCCTGGCTGGATTATTATCCTGTAAATCTCCTCTTTATTTTGCTATAAATATTGGCTTACATTTTACGTAATGTGCTCATTGCCTTACTTCCCTTTGCAATTCGTTTCTCTAGTTCCATATCGTCATCAGCTTTACATATTACTGTCACTCACAGAGATTCAAATTGCTAATAATAATAATTTTGTTTTATCGTCTGGATGGTTTTTGTACACATAATAGTTTTAAAAGTATAGACCACTTTTTTGACTACAAAGAATTAATGTACGTAAAGTTGTTTAATGACTTTATACCTATTTTTTATAGATTCATTTGAAGACAAACGAAAAGAAAACTTTGAAAAGGGACAAGCGGAACTAGAACGTAGAAGAAAAACATTGTTAGATCAACAACGACAAGAAAGGGAGGAGCGCGAAAGGAAAGAAAGGGAGGAGCAGGATAAGAAAGAAAAAGCGAGACAAGAAGCAGAAAGAAAACGACTAGATGAACTAGAAAAACAAATGAGAGACCAGCAAGAGAAAGAAAGGTTGATCGAAGAAGAAAAGAAAAGGCAGGCCGAACAGAGAGAAGCCGCGAGGAAAGAAATGGAAAGGCAAAGACAATTAGAATGGGAAAAGCAGAGGTAGGTGTTAACTTTTTAGTTATTGTCTCATTTTTATATCTATTCTATTGATTATTTCGATTTCGTGATTTCGTTGACCTTTGCTAAAATTTTTAGTTGCAGTAGAGCGTCGAAAATTCGACGTGCGAAGGGGTATATATTTCCGTAAAACGTTTCTATTTCAGATACATCAACAGATAGCCCTTATTTGTCTTTCACATAGCAAATTTCTATATTACACAAACCCGTAGATACAGTTTCCAACACACGTGTAATAGAAAGTTTATATTTCACATAAGTATACTAACAAACAGCTCCCCTATTTCTCATACTTCATAGAAAGTTTCCATTTTTCCTTACAAATTTCTATTTCCCATACACCAATAGACAGCTCTTATTTCAAATAAAAAGTTTCTTAAACACATTAACAAATATTACACACGTATACAAAAAGTTTCTGACATTTTAGGTATTTGACTTAAAACACCACGCTGGCAAGGCGGGTTGGTGAGTTTTTAATCAGCCGCTCATTTTGAAAACCGGCGCTATTTGAAGCCGCAAGCTCCGGGTCAAGCGCTTCTAGGTTTGTGATCTTATACTATCCCTAAAATCAGGGGTTGCCAACTACGCCATCTTCGACGAACCGAAAATATTCTTCGACGTCTTAGGACTATCTAATAGAATCCAAGAGACTCCAAAGGAGTTCCTACCCGCTACCCGCGGAATTGGGCAGGTCACATAGTGAGACTAAAATGCTCAAAATGGACCAGAATACTAAGTGACTGGCGCCGAAGAGAACGCTGGATAGACGACATTAAACGAATATCGAAGAAATGGCAACAGGGTGGCAAATGTCAAGCAATGGACATAGAGGTTGTATGATGATGACAGAAAGTTTGTATTTCACATACAATAGCATACAGCTTCCATTTCACATACGTTCTACAGTTGTTATTACATATTGCAGTATTGATTGATATGTGATACCTAGATGTTGGGTGTAATGACCCCCTAAAAATGTTCCATGGGCTTGTAGTCTAACACACTAAAAGACAACTCCTATTTCACATATTCCAACATACAACTCGTATTTCAAATTCATAAAGAGTTTCTATAAGTTTTATAAGTTCATAGGAAGTTTTTATTTCAAATACATCAACAGCCACGCGCCTATTTCACATATGTTCATAGGAAGTTTCCATTTTTCCATACAGTTTCCATTTCCCATACACCAATAGACAGCTTCTATTTCACATACTTTTGTAGACAGTTTCTCCACCATACTATTATACATTAGATCTTACAAAAGTTTACTTCAAAATAATAATAGAAAACTGAGTAACAGCAGCCTTTAATAGAAAAAAAAAGGAACACCTGTGTTGTGCAGTAGACTTAAGAAACTTTTATTATGTAATTGTGATTATATTTTATATAAGTTGTCTTATGTTTTTGTTAATGTATTTAAGTATTTTGGATTAGCAAGAACATGCTGTGTTTTCTTGTATAAGTCTATTAATTTCCACATTTTCAAATATTTCCGTATGTCACCAACGTAAATCACGTGTTCTGTTATTTTGTGCAGGTTCTGTATGTCCCAAGGACTATTTTTGTGCTTCACTGATGTTGTAAATGCTTTGTTGTTGCAAAAATCTAAGATCATTAATGCATTCTCTTATTTAACTATTATGTTGAAAGTTTTTGCAAAGTTTTAATCCTATAGTCAACTTATTTCTGTACCTGTACATTTCTTTACTAAAAATATAATAAGTTCTGCAATTAAAACGACTAACAAATTTAGCATCCATATAAAATTAGCTTCAAGATTGTGGAATAATTAAGATTCTTTTAAAAGATTGCAGGAGTTGCAGAATCAACGGCAAAGAGAACAAGAGACTGTTTTAAAACTAAAAGCTAGAAACCAAAGCCTTACCATTGAACTTACCACCCTTAATGATCAGGTGAAAGAATTATCCCAAAAAATATGTGATACGCGGATGGGAGTTTCGAGTGTTAAAACAACAATCGACGGAATGCGTTCAACCAGAGATTCGCAGATGCAGGAAATGTCGCAATTGAAAAATAAGTTGAAAGAACAGAATGCTAAGCTATTGGCCTTATCGCAGGAGAAGATTAAACTTGATGCCAAGAACAAAGCCAACACTCAGGATACAGAACAAGCAAGGTTGGCATTTGAAAATAAAGAAGTTACTATTAAGAATCTCAAAACCAAGGTAAGTTTTTCATATTAAGTAAAATTATTATATGGGTTACGGTTATCATGACAAGTTTTTAAACGTAAAAATATCAACATATTAATTTTTCAAAATATTATCCATGAAAATTAATACACATTCCATTCCGAACGATCAAACTCGTTAGGGATTTATCTTATCTTAATTATTTGACACTATTACTCGTTATTTTGAGTGCTCAAAAAGTTACTTGTTTGAGTCAACATATTTTTAGCAGGATAGCACAGGGTATATTTTATATCGCCAACCTCTTCATTTAAGAAAGGAACCTGTACAACAACAGGAATCCAGAGTTAAGAGTTTATAGACCGAGTGTTGATGGATGATTTAGGAATATTTGACGTTGTAGGTAATATTTAGAAATTGGTACAACTTGGCTGTAGAGTATTGGGCCTTTATCAAACCTTGACTTTTTAATATTGTTCTAAAAATATTCTATTGTGGCATTTTAATATCGTTGACTCAGTAATAGGAATTAACCACATTTTCAGTTAAAAATACAATTATTTTGATTCGATTTCCACTTCGGAATCTACAGAAGGCATTAAATCGTATTTTGTTGGAGAGATTACAACCAATTCTTGGAGAACACTAACTAATACCTAACCACCAGTTTGAATTCAGACAACAACATGCCACCACTGAGAAAATCCATAGAGCCTGTAATGCTATTCATGAAGCTCTTGAAGAAAGGAAATACTGTTTAGCAGTCTTTTTTGATATTTCTCAAGCCTTTCAGAGTCTACAAACTAAATTATTTTGTTATACTCAAGTCCTACCTTCATGATCGGCATTTCCTAGTAAGACGTTACTATAAGAAGGTCTACTAGAGGCCAATCTTATCAAAATACCACTTTAGCCAATGTTTAGAGTCAGTGGAAAAGAAAAGTAAACGAGAGTAAGTCAATACATATAACATTTACTAATGGAAAAACCACATACCCACCAGTGTCTTTAAATAACCAAGAGTTACAACAAAAATATCGTGTCAAACTCCGACGAATATCAGGGGAAAGTCTGTTGAATAGGGAGAGAATCGAAAATATAAGAAGAGCATGCAATATAGAAGACATAAATGGCTGGGTAAAAATGCTAAAAATACTAAAAATGCTAAAAATACTGTTCAACAAATGTCTGTTTGAAGGTAAAATACCTAAACAATGGAGAAATGCCAACACAATCTTAATACATAAGAAATGAGACCGAACAGACCTCAACAACTACCGTCCTATTTCCCTTTTGTCACAACTATATAAAACCTTCACAAGATTACTATAAACTTGGTAACTACCAACCAGTGGAACAGGCCGGATTCAGGAAAGGATAAAGCACAATCGACCATCTACATGCGCTTAAAATCTTAATTGAGAAAACCAATGAATACAACCTTCCACTGTACTTAGCATTCGTAGATTATGAAAAGGCTTTCAACAGCATTGAACACTGGGCGGTTGAAGAAGCTCTGGTCAATAGTAGAATAGATTCAAGATACCGACAATTGATACATGATATTTACCAAAACGCAACCATGACCGTAATTCTGGACGACAAAATAATAACGGATAATATAAAAGTTAAACGAGGAGTCCGACAAGGCGATATAATTTCACCTAAACTGTTTACCTTGACCCTCGAAGACATAATAAAATCAACAGATTGGGAAAACAGAGGAATATGTATTAACGGAAAATACCTAAATCACCATGCGGATGATATACTCCTGATCTCCTCGGAACGACAAGAACTGGAATTAATGCTGAATGAACTTCATGAAAAATCAGTGCAAAAAGGCCTAAAAATTAACAACAAAACAAAAGTAATGACAAACACGGAAGACCAAGAGGCAATAAAAATACAAACAGAAAAATGGAACAGGTAAATGAGTATATCTATCTAGGACAAGCAATCAGAGCTAACAGAGAAAATCAAACAGCCGAAATATCGAGACGAGTAAGAATGGGATGGGCAGCGTTCGGCAAACTTTCTTACGTTCTAAAATATCAAACAATCCCTCTATACTTACGAAGCAAGGTATATGACTCCTGTATAATACCGGTGCTCACCTACGGAGCACAGACATGGACATTTACACAGGCCAATTTGGATAGGATAAGGAAGGCACAAAGAGCGATGGAGAGACAAATGTTGGGTATATCACTTAAAGATAGAAAACGTAACCAGTGGATCAGAACCAGAACAAAGACAGTAGACGCGATAGAACAAGCAGCAAAACTGAAATGGAAATGGGCTGGACACAATGAACGTCTCCAAGACGGACGATGGAACAATGCCATCGGAAAGTGGCGTCCATACAATACAAAGAGATCAAGAGGCAGACCACAGATGAGGTGGAAAGATGACATCAGGAAACAAGGAGGTCCCACATGGCAGAGAACAGCTCAAGATAGGGAAAGATGGAGAGAACTGGGGGAGACCTATATTCCAACAATGGAAGGATAGAGAATAGGTTCAAAAAAATGGCTGGGTGACAAAACGGAAACAGGAGTGGAACGAATCCATTAGTAGATTGGCAGAGAATAGGATAGTACAAATAGCACGAGATAAGTCACCAAATGGACGAAGAAGTATTGGCAGACCAAGAAAAAGATGGCGCGGTAATTTACAACAAATGGCGAACAATTTAGGAGGTTAAAATTAAAGAAGAAACAGGCTTTAAAGCCTACATACAAGAAGGAAGAAAAAGAAGAAGAGATCGTGTCAAATATCTAGGTATGCAACATGACAGGCGGTTAACGTATAAAAGGCATATATTCATGGAAAGAAAACAAGAGCGCCTTAAGCTTAGCAGACTTTACTGGTTACAACTATCACTACATAACAAATTATTAGTTTATTAATCAGTCCTAAAGCCAGTATGGAGTTATGGGAACCAGCTTTGGGGATCCGCGTCCAGGTCTAATTTAAATATCTTGGGGAGGTTTCAATCAAAAGTCCTACGCGTCATTACAAATGCACCTTGGTATATACCTAATCAATTCATTATGCATGACCTTCAAGTCAAGATTTTTAAGAAGAGATCACAAATTGATCCCAAAAATATGCTTTGCGGCTTGATAACCATCCTAAAAATCTTGCAACAAACCTTATGAACCACTATCAAATCGAAGACTAAAGCGACACACTCCCTGTTATCTTTCAACAAGATTTCTTAACTGAGTTATTTTTGTGTAGATCCTAAATTTACAAATAATTTTAAAAATTATATTGAAAAAGACAGCAAATATTTGATTTCACGCAAACAGCGCCTTTCTATCTGTTGATACGTATTTCGACCTAATAGGTCTCGTCAGAACAGTTATTCAAAGGTGTTCAACACTGTTCTGATGAGAACTATTAGGTCAAAATACGTATCAACAGATACAAAGGCGCTGTTTGCGTGAAATCAAATATTTGCTGTCTTTTTCACTTTATTCGGATCTACTCTGTACGAGTACAAGAAACCAATTCGCTAAGGATTTCTGCTTAGTTGAAAAGACGTGTCGTGGAATGCAAATTTTAGATTCCCCACGTCTCTTTTAACACCTTCATCAACGTCTATTTTGCTTTGCAATTTTTAGAAAGCACAAATTAAAGCGGAAATCTGAATTGTGTTTTGAAACTATTTTACGGTTTTAAAAATTATAATTTTCATGGGATAACTTCTTGCATACTTGTAAAATAATTACACAATTTACTATTTACAATAAGTTTAAAAAAAATGATCTAATCGATTATTTTGAATTTTTTTAAAGCTAAATTAACAGAATTTTTTAACAATTGTTAATAGTTACAACTTAAAAAATTCAATGGTTGGTAAAGTTGCACTGCAGTCCAGGATGGTCCTCGATTTAGTGTTGAAATTTTCATACTTTGTTAAATATTGATCAAAACTTCAGATTCCAGATCTCGGTTTATAAATAATTTCAACATCTTCATCACATGTGTTACATTTTTTTATTTATTTGCTTTTATTTGACAGTATCTTATAGAAAAATGTAATTGGAAGTTAAGAAACAGGCTTCTTAAAAAAAATTGTGGTTAAATTTTTTAAAATACATAATTCTAAACTGTAGTTGTAGAAATGAAAAGTGAATATACATCTGCATTCCCAATATTTTGTGTTATATTGAATTTATAGATTAATTTATCTTTCCTTTCAATTCTAGGTAGACGATATGCAAGTAGAAATAGATAGCAAAATGGCGGACATCGAAAATAACAATACTCAATTAAAAGACCTTCAAACCGAACTTAAAAATCTAGTAAATGAATGCGAACAGCTCTATTCTGTATACGAAGTGAAACGAAATACCATTTTGGATATGAAAAGTTCTAGTAAAACTAATGAAATGAACGCGTGGCAAACTACAGATGCTTGGGGATCAAATGACAATGAAACCACCTCTGACTGGCCTGTTGATAATTGGGCTGCCTCTACGGATGTGTCGACTTTGCCTGGTCTCGTCAAATACAGAGCATTGTACGAATTTGTTGCAAGAAATAATGATGAAATATCCTTCCAACCCGGTGATATAATAAATGTATGTACATTTGTTATATGGTGTATGGTATGTTTTATTATATTTTTATGTTTGCAGGTACCCAAAGAACAAACTGGAGAACCTGGATGGCTTGCGGGCGAAATACGAGGTCATACTGGTTGGTTTCCCGAAGCGTATGTGGAACCTGTTGATGGCATAGGTGTAAGAGATGATTCTGCATTTAGTCAAACAACTAGTAGCATTGAAGAGACTGAAGCAACACGATTAGAGTAAGTAATAATATTGGTGATATTCCATTAGTTCATTTGAGCCAGATATAACATGATATTTCATGTATATTTGTTTATTTAAATAGGCAAATTTAATATATTATAATAATAATAAATATATTAAGTTTGATTAAAACCTTAATAACTGTTTTCTATTCTAATGCTAACCCTATACATTTTTGCCTATTATCATTAGTTTGTTTTCCATGTCTTTGTCCTCATCATCTTTCTCTTTTGTCGGCGCGTGTATATTTAGAATCCTTTTGTTTCTCTATCTTTCTCTTATTCTTAAAGGCACATTCTTTCATTTATAGACTTACAATTTATAATCTTCTCCTTCACCTACCATTCGTTTCCGTTTCCTTTGCAATGGTCATCGTTTTTTCTCTTTTTGTTTTAACAATCAAAAGACTGATATTTTTTGTACACACTTATGACAGGTCAAAAGAAAATGTAGAAAGTATTTTTGAAGTGTGTATATTTTAAGCAATTCCTAGCTGAGCGCTTTCGGCTTTACAAAGCCATCATCAGAGCTATGCTACAATAAAATGTTCTTATAAGTACTAATTGGTGAAGATTATAATTTTTAACTTACGTCAATTTATAAATACCACTACAATGGAGAGATCTCATTTCCTTATATGTCGAAATTATGATTTTTTAGTTGTTGAAATTCTTAAAAAACATATAAAAAAACATATAAAAAACCGACACTAAACTTCACAGACACGTTAAAAAAATTGAAAAAATTTTTTGTCATGGTACGGGTGTAAGAACCCGACCATTGATTGATGTGAGGAGGTAGACAGAATAGAACTAATGAAATCAAATGTCGGTCCTTTTAACTGTCACTTTTGAAAAATCGTTTAAAAGGACCGACATTTGATTTCATTAGTTCTATTCTGTCTACCTCCTCACATCAATCAATGGTCGGGTTCTTACACCCGTACCATGACAAAAAATTTTTTAAATTTTTTTAACGTGTCTGTGAAGTTTAGTGTCGGTTTTTTTATATGTTTTTTTATATGTTTTTTAAGAATTTCAACAACTAAAAAATCATAATTTCGACATATAAGGAAATAAGATCTCTCCATTGTAGTGGTATTTATAAATTGACGTAAGTTAAAAATTATAATCTTCACCAATTAGTACTTATAAGAACATTTTATTGTAGCATAGCTCTGATGATGGCTTTGTAAAGCCGAAAGCGCTCAGCTAGGAATTGCTTAAAATATACACACTTCAAAAATACTTTCTACATTTTCTTTTGATCTCTTTTTGTTTTGTTTATTAGTTTTTTTACTTTTCTTAGGATATTGTAACTTTGTTTCAAATCCAATTCTCCTTTCTTCGTATGTCCTTTTTCTTATTGCTTTTTTCTTATTGCTTTTTGCATATTTCTGTTTCTTATCATTGTAACCTCGGAAACCTTTATTTGATATCATTTTTTGGGCACTTATCGTCCTCTCATAGCACATGTCTTTTTCATTATCCTCTTTTTCTTCCGTTGGAGCATGGATGCTAATAATGCTAATATTAGCAAACTTCCCTTTAAGTCTTATTCGACATATCCTATAATCAACTGCTTTGAAATCAATTAAACTATGTTTGACCTTGCTGCTTACAATAAATCCGGTACCAAATTCGTGTCTGCTAGGATGTCCACTGTAGTAAATATTGCAGTTATTTTTTTCCAGAATGCCTGAGCTAATCCACTTCATTTCCTGTAAAACAATGATATCTGCTTTGGCATTATTCATTACTCGTATGAGCAGAGCCGTGGCTCCAGGCTAATAAAGGCTTCTTACGTTCCACGTGCAAATTTTTAAATCATTATTCTTATTTCGTTTGCGAGTTCGTCATAGGTTTCTTTCTTTGTAGTTCTCATAACAAAAGATTTTTTAACAGGTTGGGTAGTTAACCCAACGCCAAACCCCCTTTTCGGAGGGCCATTTCACCCGCTCTCGTCAGTTCCCGACCCAACTTTCAACCCGGGTTGGATACCGGATCTCCAGTTGGGTTGCTCGGTTTACAGGGGACACCATCGTGAAGGTGAGAGTCGGATTTGAGTAGAAGTAATTGAGTAATTGGAGTAAACTGGAATCAACTCCATGTTTTCGCATTCTATTCCTTTATACCCCTTGTGTTTCTTATGCCATTAATATATCGAAGGTCTTTTTAAAGTCAGACATTGATGAGCTTCGTTTGAAAAGTTATTAAAACCTTTTAATAAAAGTGTACACGTATTTGGTTAACGTTTAAAAATATATTTTTGCTTATTTCAGAGGTATTGCAGAAGTTCCCGAAGGATCCGACACGACAAATTCATTTGAACCGACCCCTGTACACGTACCACCTGAAGTCGAACCAGTAGCTCCAGTTGAACCTGAAGTAGAACCAGAATATTATATAGCTAATTATCCATATCAATCTGTGGTAGGTCATGTTCTACTTAATGTGTAAAATATAATGGAAAGATGAAACAATGAATATTATATGTACCTAATACTACCCTAAAGTAAATTATTATGCATACGAGGATCAACTGAAACTAATATTTTCTTTCCATAGTTTTATGTTTTTTCAATATAACTTCATGACTTTTACAGTCATTTTGGAGGTCTGCCTGCTGGATACACCTCGCGTGTTTGTTCTTCATCCCGTGGATGTCAATCGCGGGATGAATTCTTCTGATATAACGTCAACGTGAACTCTCCAATATCACTTCCGTAAGGTTAAATTTCGGAAGAAGCTACCGAGAATATTATTTTTTTGCAATATGCTCGGTTATATATGTTATAACATAGGTTATATGCAATATGTGAAAGATATACACAAGAAATTAGCGCCACTGTTTTTAAGTATTTGGGAAAAGGAATATAGTTTCGAGAGAGTGGCTCATTTTACATATCTAGGAGAGATTACAGAAGAGAACGCTCAGGAAGAATGGGAACTGAATAACAGATTGGCAAAGGGAAATAAAAAGATGGGAAGCGTAAGACAGCTTATGAAAGTCAAATGTGTATCGAAAAAAATAAACTCAAGGAGATATAAAATGGTAATTAGGCCCAGAGTGACGTATGGTAGTGACGTAAGCTATGAAAAACGCAAATACGGAGAAATTGGAAAGAAAAGAAAATGCTCTGAGATATACAGGGTGGTGAATCGTCAAACGGGCCATAGGAAACTCAATGGGAAATTCTAAATTGTTGAATTCCTGCTTCCCTAAGTATTTTACACCAAAAGTCATGGGAAACTATTTGTAGAGGACTCAAATATGTATCGAAAACAACTGTTAAAATTATTCTACGTCTTAAACGTATTCCAAAATTTTGCTAAAATATAATACATTTTTCTGTGAAAAAATGTGCATTACGTGTTGCGTTTTGTCATATTATTGTTTCTAATATTTGACAATATTTAAATCAATTATATTACATTTATTTATGATTTAAATGGCCAAAATTTTTTGATTTATTGTTAAAAAAAAATTAAGTTTAAAAAATTAAGATTAAAAAATGTACTCAGTTGAGGAGAAAAAAAAGCAATAATAAAAATGTTTTATTCATGTTTTAGTATAACATTTGTTATAGTTTTATGTTTAGAAATTATCATATATTATTATTAGGAATAAAGATCACAGTAACAGTATATTGGAATTCATTGAATTGTTGTATAACTTAACTTAACATGGAATTAAATTTTAGTGAATTAGAATATCTTACGTTAAATAAAGATCCGGTAGTGGCAGGAAAAGGTTCGAGCTATTGCCGGAATACAACATTATGCGATTTTTCGTCAACTGAGTACATTTCATTATATTGATCGATTTGTAAACAATATAATTTATGAAATCGTAGGCTTCCACGGCCAGAGTCAGAATTATAGTTTATTCGTCTTCCGGGTTTGGACCGTGTCATTTGTGAGTGACCCAAAAGTGGGTTCATCTCGACGTTTCGCTACAATTGTATGTAGCTTCTTCAGGAAAACAAAGAAAAAGAAATCAAAGGACAGGAAGATGGGTAGTTAGCAACGGTAACTCAGTTACTCAACGCAACCAGAGGCGAATACTAACTACCAAGATGGGCATTTGGTCACAGTAACTCAACTACTTAACGCAGCCAGAGGTGAAAACCAAATGCCAGGACAGGGATTCACGTCCAACAGCTCAGAACACTAACGCTCAGAGGCGGGGAGTGAATCGGATTCACTCCCCGCCTATCGACGCGTTAGTGTTCCTAAAAAGTTAGTGTAAAAAAACAGTTTCCTTAATAAGCCACAAATGATACATGGAAGACTATACAAAAAAAAGAGAAGAAGATATAGATGACACCCAGTTTGGATTCAGAGGAACACTAGGAACGAGAGAGACTTTGTTCGCTTTTAATGTTCTAGCGCAAAGACAAATAGATATGAACTAGGATCTCTATGTCTGCTTTATAGATTATCAAAAGGCTTTTGATAGAGTACATCAGAATCTCGTAAAACTGTTAAAAGAAAAGAATGTGGATAGTCAAGATACACGGGTTATTGTCAATCTGTACTGGAATTAAAGAGCAAAGGTTAAAATCGAAGATGTCGATACAGAAACTATAGAAATCAAAAGAAGTGTTAGACAGAGTTGCGTACTGTCCCCATTGTTATTCAATCTGTACAGCGAAGCTATTTTTAAGGAAGCAATATCATAAAAACAACAGGGTATATCATTAAACGGAAAAATATTGAATAACATGATTCGCAGACGACACCGCTGTTTTTGCAGACAGTCTAGAAGTATTGCAACGCTTAGTAAGTAGATTACATCAAGTCTGTATAAAATATGAACTACAAATGAACGTTAAGAAAACCAAGTGCATGATTAGAATTAACCAAGTGTAAGAAGGATTTTGAAAATATCATCGACCCAACGAGTTACAAATGCAGATGTGGTAAGAAGGCTTCAAAAGGATTGCAAGGTCATAAAGCCCATCAAAACAAGAAAGCTGGAATATTTAGGCCACATTACCACAGGTGCGAAATATGAGTTATTAAGGCTCATAATGCAAGGTAAAATCAAGGGTAAAAGATTCGTAGGAAGAATTTTCTTGCTAAGAAACCTAAGAAGGTATAATTGCAGCTAGGTAGATCTTTTCAGTTAGATATTTGGATAACTGAAGATCTAGATCCAGACATAGAGATACGTAGCAGGATTGAGTAAGCCAGAACAGCATTTACTAATAGGAGAACCTTGCTAAGCAACAGCAGCCTCAACTGAACGCTTCGATATCGCTTTGTACAATGTTACATTTACTGCATACTGCTGTATGGTGTAGAAACCTGGACCATAAAGGCCAATGTAATGAACCGATTGGAGGCCTTTGAAATGTGGTTATTTAGAAAACTACTTAAAATTCCCTGGACACATCACACAACAAATGTCGAAGTATTAAATCGAATGGGCAGAGAACGAGAATTGCTGCCAATAATAAAAAGAAGAAAAACTGCTTATCTGAAGAAAGAAATACTCATGTCTTAAAACACATAAGGGATTGGACAAATCTCGATGCCCATGCACTTTTTAGAGCCACACAAGATCGAGAGGAGTATGCCAGAATTGTCGCCAACATCCACTAATTGGATAGGGCACCATAAGAAGAAGATCTTTTCAGAACAGCTGCCAATAAGGTACGGATAGCTGTGATGATAACCAACCTCCGATATGAGATGGAACTACAAGAAGAAGCAGAAATAAATCAGTAATTGCTGTAGATGTCCATTTAATCCTAAACAAAAGTTAACTTTTTTTTATAATTCAGTAAAACCATTGTGAAACCGTTCTAGTGAATTGTTGATCTTTCCACTCTTTTCAATAATGCAATTTTTCAGTACTTCTAGATAAAGAATAAGGATTGAATTGGCTTTTTTTTAAGGAACCTGGTGACTTGACGTTTAATGCTGGAGAAGTCATAGGAGTTATCAAGAAGGAGGGTGACTGGTGGACAGGAAAATTAGGAAGTTTAGTCGGAATTTTCCCAAGTAATTATGTACAAAAAGTTGATGTGGTGAGTATTTGTAACTTAATCATAAATTTTGTTTTGTCTTACTTAATAATACTTATAACTCATATATATATATTGAAGAGAATCGATCGTTATTATTAAAATCAAATTGATATATTAGTATATGTTACTGAAAACCTTCATATATTTCTCTTAGTATGTCAATAATGTACCATAAGCTTTCAAAACCGATTATATAACGCTTAGCAAGTTCGATTAATTTACTAACAAATAAGATTAGAGTAATACAACACAAACATGAGATTTGAATCCTTGCCTGAAAAAAAATTACCATCTAGATACTTCCTAGCTTGAAGTAATAGATATTATTTTCAGACTTTTTGAGCACGACCACAAATAACTTATTATGTATGTATGTGGCTTGACATTCCTTACCAAGTAACGCCACTCAAAGAGCTTTCTAAAGCCGGATTCAAACGACTGGTATACTTGGCGAAACAAGATACTGGTACGTCACGAGTGAGGGAGTAGGCGGATTAAAACCCCGAACTCGAACAGAACCGTATCCCTCTTCTTGATAATGTCTCCAAAATGGGTGCCGAAACGTCGAGTGTCAAATTCTCAACACGGTTCTTACCGAGAACTTAGTAATTTTTATTTATCTGACCACATTTTACCTAAGCGTTTTCTGTTGAAACGTAGTACTTTGGAGCAAAGTTATTCGATGTCTCATGCTTGATGAGACATACTGTATATATGACCGATAAAAGACATGATACTATAAACTACAGATAAACCCACGCGCACGCGATCAGTCGTGTGACGTCACTTGGCGACAAATTTCACCAGAAATGTTCTGTGTTGTATGGAGTTTTGTCAGATTTAGTCAAGGTTAGTAGATATTTAAGTATCTACTTAAATATCTACTAACCTTGAGATTTAGTTTTGTTTTATCGTTTATCTTGTACGTTGACATCGGTTTACTGGGTAAACCATCTTTCCGAAGGAGGTTTACTTAAACCATATCCAGATTTTCTAATTAAATGTAATGAACTGAACCATATTTTTAACAATTTTAACAAAGTATCGTTAAAATTAACCAAGAATTATTTAAAATCGCTAATGGATTTAGCTGTGTTCAGATGTAATGTTAGTAAAGGTGTAAATTATATTTTAAAATTAGAAAATTGAATAGATATATTAAAGAAACATCCAAAGTTAGGAAGAAGAAAATATTAAAAATTGTAAAATAAATTGTTAAATAAACTTGTAAATTATTACAGTGTATTTTATTTTATCAGTTGTATTAAATTTTTATTTTAATAAATCAATCCATTGTATATAAATTTCCATTTGCAAAAAGATGTTTAGTTCTTACTTTTTTATAAAATTTTAGTTTACATTGCTAGGCTAACAGAGATGTATATATAACATATTTTTAAGATTTAATTGCAGATATTTTACCTAACATCCCTTAATATTCTAAATATTTAAATAAAAACCCTCTCTTTCCATATATGTTTTACCGACTGTGATGATAAAAGGTTGGTGATAAAAGTGACTTTTATCACCAATTGACGTCATGCGCGTCGATGTACAAAATTCGATTGCGAAGTGGGTTTATCTTGGAAGTCTTAGTATCATGGATAAAAGATATTATTTTGATTACGAGTAGTCTGAAAAGACTACAACAAGTTATTGACTAAGTTAGAGCGTAAATGCGAGGCTGCATATAAACAAAACAAAATTAATTTGTTTAAGGAAACTTGATCGTAAACAGTAATCAAGTAGAACAGTTAAGTTCATACAAATATTTGGGAATAATGGTTAATAAAAACTGGGGAAACACGCAGTAAGTCAGGGTAAGTATAGAATAAACCCGTAGGTTTTTTCAACATATTGGGGAAGTAGTTTGAAAGAGATCACAGAACAATTTTCTGCTGTAGGAATCTACATCAGCATTTCGTTCGTTCGAAAGTGCAGGAATAAAGTTTAAATTATGTTGTTGGTCTTCAACGTCGAAAAGTCACTACTAATTACAGAAGCAAGAGCTCATGAGATAGTGGTAGGCTGAAGACAAACTGAAAGACAGATATGTACCCCAACTATGTTTCCCATTACAAAAGGAACAACAGAACCATTACTACCAGAAGATTGCCCTTCTCAGACCTATAAAAACAAGGTGCAATGAATAGTATAAAAATAGTTTGTGGAAATTAACTTCATAGTTCATATTTCTTGATTAAATTATTGCTTATTAATGCTTTATTAATTATTATAATAATTATTATTACAACTTAGTTGATACTCTTCAATATTATATTTCGTTTTCTGCTATTATTGTCCGTCTTCGTTTTCCGTTTGTGAAACTAATTGAGTGTTATCAGAACTCTTCCGCTAACACCATTAACGCCGCTCCTGTAGCACCACCTGAACCTACTCAGGAACCAGCTCTCCCACCACCAATGGAACTGTCAACAGGTGTGTCAGCAGAAGCTGTAGAGTCTGCTCTGGCCAACGTTTCTGCACAGTCACAAGCCGATAATGAGGTGTCCCAGATAACATTAAATAAAGCTAAAGAAGAAGCTTATGCGCAAGCTGGCCAGGTTTGTGTATATTGCATTTTTGCTTTTTGCATGCTGCTACAACTTTGACATTATACAATCGAGGATATAATATTCAAAATTTTGTAGAAAATATTCCAAAAGTTATAATTATTTTTGGAATGCTTAAGAAAGTAACTTTTTTCTAAAATATATTGAAACAAAAAATCACGATATACCGCTGTAATGTGAATTCTTGACATGTTTCGTTGAAAAATTGGCTTTTTTAGAAGAATTGTAATTTTAAAATTGTTTTTGTGGTATCGTCTGTAAATCTGTATCATCTGTATAGAATATAAAATGTGATTTTTATTGAGTACCTTATATATCTATTAAGCACCTGCTGGAAAATCAAATTCAAAGCTAACGTGAAATTGTCGGTCCCAAACTATCAATGAAGTAGTCGACTGTGAATTCTTCTCGATTTCAAATTCTTTATTTTCTTTCTGACAAACATAGTTTGTATAGAATTTGTCATAAATATACATTGCTAAAAACTAAACTAGACTAAACAAGACATGAAATGAATTTAAAAGCTAAATGAAATACAGCTAATATAAGTTCTAAAAAATTCTTCGACTGTATAAAACACTTTTTCATATAAAAATTGCCTAAGATTCCTCTTAAATACATTTATTTAACTGGTGGACTTTACAACTGTGGGCAAATGATTAAACACCTGTTGCCTTATACCCAGGGCGATTTAAATTTAATGTTACGTTTTGAAAATGGTATATAAACTTTATTACAATATCTAGTATTTAAGTTATGCATATCACCACTCTGTATCACCAACTGTATATTTTACGTATGTTTTATAGATTTCGAAAAAGCCTTTGATAGAGTACCACATACATTATTATTTCAATGCTTAGACTCAGTTGGTCTGGACACGTATGACATTAGATTGCTCAAAAATCTTTACTACAATCAGACCGCTTGTGTTAAGGTGGACCAAGAGGTTTCAGCTAAAGTTTCTATTAAGCGTGGTGTTAGACAGGGATGTGTTATGTCACCGATGTTGTTTAATGCCTACACTGAACCGGTTTTTGAAATAGCGTTAAATAATGGCCGCGAAGGTGTTAAGATCGGTGGTGAAATTATTAATAACATCAGATACGCCAATGACACCGCAATAATGGCAGAGAGTCTAGAAGATCTTCAAACCCTGTTGAATGCTGTAAACAACGAATGCACTGAAAAGAGCTTAACAATCAACGCAAAAAGAAACAAAATGGATGGTGGTCGGAAAAATGAATATCGAAGACTCAGTACTAAGATTAGATAACAAAATCCTGGGAAGGGTGGAACACTTTAGATATCTGGGTAGCTGGATTGACTGCAGGATTGAAATTGACGAGGAAATTTCGACCAGAATAGAACTCGCACGGAAAAACTTTATTAACTGGCGTTCTATATTATGCAGTAGAAGTCTGTCGTTGACCACACGTCTAAGAGTATTGAAGTGCTACGTCTGGTCCACTTTGTTCTATACATGTGAAACCTGGACAACAAAATCTTAACAAATTAGAAGCGTTTGAGTTATGGTGTTACCATCGCATGTTCAGAATCCCGTGCACAGCACACATATCTAACGAACGTGTGCTAGAGACCGTGCACAAAGAGCGAGAATTGATCAACATCATCAAAATGAGAAAGGTCCAATACTTCGGTCATATAATGAGAGAACCTAAATATCGCTTACTCCGGTTAATCATTCAGGGCAAAATCGAAGGAAAACGTTGGGTCGGAAGAAAACAATTGTCCTGGCTGCGTAACATTAGACAATGGACAGGTCGAACGGCCAAGGAACTGTTTCATCTAGCTCCCGACCGAGAATCATTTCATCAGCTTGTCAATATGACGATAGCCAACGCTTGAATACAAGCACGGCACACAAATAAGATATCACCACTCGTTTTAAACTGATGTAAGTTAATAAAAATAAAAACACATAATTAAAAAATGTATATACACTTCTTCTTACGGTGCCTTATCCTTAAGGACGTTGGGGTTTACATTTGCCCATTTAATCTTACTTGTAGCAGCCCTGAATAGTTCTATGGAGGTCATGTTCGTCCATTGCCGTAGGTTTTTAAGCCAAGAGTTGCGTCTTCTTCCTGGTCCTCTTTTGCTATTGACTTTGCCTTCGATTATAAGTTGGAGCAGTTCATACTTTTGATTTTTTATGATGTGACCAAAATATTGTGTTTTCCGTTCTTTTATTATAAGCATAAGCTCTCTTTCCTTATTCATCCTCCGCAAGACTTCCGCATTTGTCGTATGACTCATGTAGGATATTCTGAGCATTTTACGTTAACACCAGAGTTCGAATGCTTGGATTCTTTTTTGTGTTGCTTCTGTCATTGTCCAGGCTTCAACACCATAGAGCAAGGTGGAGAAAACATAGCACTTAAGTATTCTAGTTCTCAATGAGATGCCCAGCTGGCGGTTGCATAGAACTTTTTGCATTTAGCATTATTTTGCATACTAGGTAGTCGGGAGACACCAGCGACACAACGCAATATCTTCTTTTGTATGACGAAAATACCATTTGCATAACCAGGCATACCCCAAAACATATCCCGTATCTCCACGAGTACATATTATATCATAATTAGCTGATTTTCCGTCATAACATATTTTAAATTTCTAATTAGATAGTTAATGAAATTCAACTTCGAAACAACCGCTCCACAATGCAACTTCCAATCAAAACTTTCGTCAATCGTTATTCCCAAAAACTTGACTGACGACACCGTAGCAGTTGCATGTTGTTAAAATTAAACTGAATATTTAGGTATTTTTGTTTATTGTGAAAATGTATAACTTGCGTTTTTTTTTCATTAAGAAGCAACGAATTATCGCAAATCCAAGAATATAAAGATGAAAGAAAATCATTACATTGATTTTGTAGCATTACGTTGGATTTGTTAGATAGAATCACTGAAAACTGTCAATTTCAATTTGATACAATTTGGTCAATAACTTCTAAAATTATTTGCGCGTCTTGTATAGGGTTATAATTAAACAAATTTTGGTAATGTTTGGCCAAGTTTTAATTATTAATTGTATTTTACGAACGATTTCCGAAGTGGAAATCGAAACGTCAAAAGAAACCTATTTCAAAGTAAAATTTTTTGCTTATCCTAATAAAAATTAGTAAACTTGTAAATGTCACTGTAACAAGAAACTGACAGGAGTTAAATCAGGCTACCGCGGTGGTCATTTGATTGATATTTTTCACCCAATCATGGGAAATCTTTGTCGCAAGTAGTTTTTCATCTAAATCACCTAGATTCATAAGCTGTTTACAGCTATCTTGCTGTAGTAACAAATTATTTCTCTTTGGGAAAACCGCTTGAGTTCGAGTAACAAGAGATTTTGTAGATTTTGTAGAAACTGTAAGAATTTCAGCTATTTGCATTTCAGTAAGTTTCATTTCAATAAAACAATCATTAAACAAAATGTATTCACTTATTATTTTAATAATAAAATATTTTTTCTTCTTCTTACTCTTTATGAGCAATTCTGCTTGTTCATCGGTGGATTTTCACTCCATATTTTTTGCGGTCGTCCGATACTTCTGCCGATTGGTGACTTATCTCTGGCTATTTTGACGACACGGGTCTCCTTCATTCTGATTATGTGGTTATTCCATTCTTTTTTTCTATTTTGTGTCCATTCATTTAAACACTGTACTTTACATTTTCTTGTAATGTCTTCACTTCTCTTTCGATCTGTCAGCGTATTTCCTGTAATTCCTCTCAGTACTCTCATCTCTGCCGTTTCCAGTACCCTTTGCGTTAAGGCATCCTGCTAGTCTATTTGCTTTTTGTACTTGATCTCTCACTTCTTTGTCCAGGTCTCCATAGCCATACAGTGTAATTCCCAGGTTTCCATTACTTGTTCAATATTGATGCCATAAATTTCTATTTTACATCTGGTTGGTTCTTTGCTGACTACTATTGTTTTAGTTTTCTGAGATGAAATGGTCATATTAAATTCTTTTGTTTTTATGTTAAATCTGTGGACCTGTCTTTGCAGACTATCTTCATATTGCGTCGTGTGCGTAACAGAGTATTTTGATGTCTTTTTTCCCATTCTATATCCTCTTCCTTTGTTAACGCTTTTGGTGATTTCATCCATGATCAAATTGAAGAGCATGGGGCTCAATGAATCCCTTTGTCTTATTCCGCTGCCTATTTCTGTAGGTTCTGTAAGTTGTCCATCTATTCTGACTTCCATTTTGTTATTTTGGTAGTTGTTTTCGGTCATCATCATCATCATCAGTGGCATTACAGCTCGTTATGAGCCAATGCCTTCTTCAGAACAATCTTCCATTCGCCCCTGTCTTTGGCAACTCTTCTCCATGCTTTAACTCCGATGGATTTTAGATCATCCTCTATGTTATCTTGATACCTAAGTTTTTGTCTTCCTCTCGCTCGTCTTCCCACTGGTCCTCTTCGGTCGAACATTTTTCTGTGTGTGTCCACACCTTCCAGTTCCAGATCATCAATTAATAGTCTAGGTATCTGGTTGCCTGATCTAGTACAATACATCTACTTGGTTTTCTGTGCGTTTATTTTTAATCCCATTCTCAGTGTAGACGCCCTTAATGATCGAATCGATTAGAGATTCTGTGGACCTAGCAATAATGTCTATATCATATGCATATCCGACCACTCGTACGGATTTATTAAAGATGGTGCAATTCGTATTAATATGGCATCTTCGAATTACTTTTTCTAGTGCAAGGTTAAATAAGAGACACGACAATCCATCTTCCTGTCTCAGTCCATTTTTACAATGGAGGAGGATGTTTTCGATAGTTTTTATAATATTTAGGGAAACTTCTCTTTTATACAGAAGATGGATTACATCTTTGAGTCTTCATCATCATCTTGACATCAATCAGACACAGAAATGCTGGTCTATTATACTCTAGAGCAGTGATACTCAACCTTTTTTTCCCTGGGCCGCATAGTAGCTAATGCCACAACTTGCGGGCCGCAATCTAGGTGAACTAGTATAAATAATACATACATATATATATATATATATATATATATATATATATATATATATATATATATATATATATATATATATATATATATATTGTTTTCAAAATACTGATTTCAAAAATGTATAATACTTTCGCAAAATTTCGGTCAAATGCTTTCTAAATGCATTAATTTTTTTAATTATTGGAAAACTAATAGGAATTTTGGAAAAATTTAAACGCAGAATATAATAGGTTACAGGGGTGCAGGGCTGTGCCGTGCTATGATACGGCGAGGCAGTCGCATCAGACGGCATCACAAGGGGGGCGGCATAATCAATAAAATAAAAAAAGTCAGGCTGTGTAAAATTGTTTTCAGAAACTATAGACAAAACGAAAAGTTACAGATAATATGGCTAATGACCAAATGAAAATTTAATGCAATTGCAGAAAAGTTTATACATGTATTGCATTTCCAGCTGAAAATGAAATTCAAGCCAGGATAAAAAAGCGACCCAGGATAAAAACACATTGGTTTTCTAGAATTCTGAAAGAACTAATGAGTATTTTTGAAAAATTTAAACAAAGAGTGAAAGATTACATTATTACCGAGGGCAGAAAGTCCCTGAAAATTTCTATGTCTATTTTAATAAGTTACAGAGGTGAAAGGACAGAAAATTTATTGTGATTTTTAATTTCAAATATTTCATTCAAAAGAAACTTTTTATTTATTCTAAGGGAATTTAGGCTCTGAGTAATATTGAAATATTGTATTCTGCATTTAAAGTTATCAAAACAATTAATTAGTTTTCTCAGGATTTGATAAAATATGCATAAAAATGAAAGTTAAATTTCAATCATATATAAGAGGCGGCATTTCAAAGACTTGCATCATATTAAAAGATGTACCGCACGGCTGTGCAGGGGTGAAAACAAAGAGAAAATTTAGTATGATTTTTCATTTCAAAAACATACAATAATGTGATCTTTCATTCGGCGTTTAAATTTTTCAAAAATACTCATTAGTTTTCGCATGATTCGAAAAAAATGAATGCATTTAAAAAGCATTTGACCAAAATTTTCCTAAGTATGATACATTGTTGTAACCAGTATTTCAAAAGCGTTTAAATGAGGTATCACATGATGTCTGTACTTTCCAATTAAAAAAAAAATCATAGTTACGACTGTAACCTGAAGAAGGATCGCGTAAAGTTCGAAACATTTATGTTATAATAATATATGATGTATGTGTGTAAATTCTACAAAAAAACGGACTCGTTAAATTAAAGCATTTATTTAAGATAAAAATTAATGTGATGGTTGACACTCACGCAAACTATCAACAATTTTAGATAAATCTGGTACGTAATTACTACAAGGTACTCTCAAAACATCGTTATAATGAATTACAAAAATATCTAATATAATCGTATTTTTTAAAATTTAAGATTTTATAAATACATAGGTATGTAGATAAAGTCAAAAATTCTTAGTTAGTCTTCGGGCCGCATAAAAAAACGCCCGAGGGCCGCATGCGGCCCGCGGGCCACAGGTTGAGTATCACTGCTCTAGAGATTTCTCAGTAATTTGCTTTATAACGAATATTGCATCTGTACAACGATCTTCCACTACGAAAACCCTGTTCTTCATCTGCTAAACTTATCCTCTGGTTTATTAACACTTGTAAAATTTTAGTTGTAAGTTTTAGCGTAGTTTGTAACATGTTTACATACCTCTGCTGTTTTCTGGCTGTTTTGTATCTCCTTTTTTAAATAGTAGAATTAGTTCGCTCGTTCTCGATCCGGTATTTTATTGTGTTTTATAATTTTGTTAATTAATGTTGTTCTGTCATTGCTGTTCCAAAATATTTCAGTAACGTAACTCGTTTGGTATCCCGTCTTTACCTAAAACTTTCCCGTTCTTTAGATTTTCAAGTATTTTCGGAACTTCCTTTATATTAAGTTCTTCATTTGTGGTAATTTTTGGTGTTTCTGGTTCTAGCGTCGTTTGTTCTTCCTCTGCATATAGCTTTTTTAGGTAGTCAATCCACATATCCTTTTCTATGTGTTTTGGTTCTATTAGTTCCTTTACCTCCATTCTTTGACCTCTTATTTTTATTATTCTTACAAGTGCATGTGGATAGTTTCTAATGTCTTGTAATTATGGTATGCCTCTTGTGTTTTGGTTGACATGTATTTCAGGTAAGCTTTTTTCTTTTCTTTACATTTTTCTTCACTTCTGTACAAAACCATGGAGTTCTTGACCTTGGCAACGATTTATTTTTATTTATATTTCTTTCACCAAGAACTTCCTTGGCCGAGGCTGATATTAGACTTAATTTTTGTCCAGCTTTCTTCGACTCCACCACTTTCTGTGATGTATGTATTTCTGATTTTTTTGGTTATTCTTTTTTGGAATAATTATCTTGTGAAGTTATCCTAAAATAAATAAAATATTTTATTATGGTAATATCAAATTCCTGTGAGTGTATCAATCCCTATAAGGCCCAAATTTTGTGAATAAAAAATTAGCAACATTTTAGTTGAGTTTTTTAAAGGAAAACTTGGGCAACTTTAGAAAAATGCTGTCTTTCTAAATAGAAAAAAATGTACACTTGGCGCCGGCATGAAACCGTTTAATGTAATGCAATTTGCATACATGTGGTGTAACTCTGGTTGCTATTGGTGGTGATTATTTGACTATAAAATGAATTGCCCATGTATTTATCGACCTCCCCAATTTTTCATAAGTATTGAATTAAGTAGGTCTTTATTTAAATCATGTCGGTGTCTGTCCGTGTATATTCTTATTCACTTTATAATTGTGTACCTTTTTATTTCTTGAAATAAAGGTCCTACAAACCTACTTACAACATGGTAGCCCAGAAAAATAAGCTTTTTTTTCATGACACTCGTCCGGCCAGGCAAACGACAGTTGTTGTTTTGAGTATTATGGACCTCCATAATAAGAACCTATATGTTTCCTGCAATCGAATTTTTTGATTTAATTAGTTATTAACAAGTAAAGATCAAGAAAAAAAATAAGTTACTGTATAACTAATTTATTGATTTTATTTCCACAACTAGAATATGACTTGTATATCTGGCATCTCTATTTTTGTTTTTCAATCAGTTAGGTTTGTTATTCGGTTACAAAGACACAGGCTTTGTTTATGCACTCGTCTTTAAGCATTTAAGCACAATCACATTTTAAAGGATTTTAATCATAAAAATTTTGAACTGTAGTTTCATTCTTTTGTTAACATTGAATATCATTTATATCCACAGGTCGTGAAGACGAAAAAACCTGAAATAGCGTCCGTAATAGCACCGTATCAGTCAACAAGTCCAGAACAATTATCCTTAGCTAGAGGACAACTAATAATGATTCGTAAGAAAACAGATTCCGGCTGGTGGGAAGGTGAATTACAAGCGAAAGGTAGAAAACGACAAGTAGGATGGTTCCCGGCAAGTTACGTTAAAGTTTTAAACAGTTCAGGTAGAATTAGTGGTAGAACCACTCCTGTATCTACTAGTCGAATGCAACAAGAAGTTATTATTGGTGAGTGTATTTATCCTAATATTAATTATTGACAATTATATTGAGTACAATTTTTTAACGCGAACTGTAAACAAAGAGAATATGACACTCAAGAGGTTATTTACGACGATTTAGCGAATTATTTAGAATTGTTTTGTGATAAGTTGAACATTGTAGTACAGAACGATCTGTCATTTGATCTGTTCCTGTCAGGACGCGAAAATTAACGACTTCTTGAGATTTCATAAGCAATGAAAGAAAATGAGTTGGGAAAATGCTCTTACTAATCATAGCAGCATTTCAGAAAAAACTAAATTGTAGTTTCTTCTTCTTCTTTTGGTGCCTATTCTCTGTGGATGTTGGCAATCACGTTGGCCCATACAACTTTGTTGACAGCTGCTCTAAATAGATGTATGGTAGTCATTCCTGCCCACTGTCTGATGTTCTTCAACCACGATGTCCTTCTGCGCCCTTAAGATCGTTTGCCTTCTATCTTGCCTTGTAAAATTAGTTGAATTAGTTGATACATCTCATTGCGCATCACATGCTCTAAATATGTCATCTTTCTGATTTTCACGATACGCAAAATTTCCAGATCTTTATTCATACGTTGGATCACGGTGTTGTTTGTAACATGATGGACATAGGAAATTTTGAGCATGCGGCGGCAGAACCACATTTCGAAGGCTTCTAATAGTTTGGATGTTGCCTCGGTCAGGGTCCAGGCTTCGACTCCATATAGGCTAGAAAATATATAGCATCTCAAGACTCGTGTTCTTATATCAATGTTCAAGTGCATAATACATAAAATCTTCCTGAGGCGATTGAAGACAGCTCTCGCCTTTTCTATATGACATCTTATTTACTATGAGTTGTCCCATTCCTTATTTAGGCTGCATCCAAGATATGTAATTTTGTCGACTATTTTCAAGGGTTCATTATTAGCTGTGAATTGTTACTGTATTACGTCGTTTTTACTTACTACAAGAATTTTGGTTTTCTTACAGTTTAATTTCATGCCCCATCTGTCACAAGCTTCCACTACACGGTCTATTAATGTTTCAATCAAAACCGTATCGTCCGCATATCTTAAATTGTTTATGATTTCACCATTGATTTTTATACCTTCTCTTAAACCATCAATAGCTTCCCTGAACAGCATTTCCGACTAACAACGTCGGTGACAAAATGCAGCCCTGACGTACTCCTCGTTTTATCGTACATTCTTGTGCGGTTTCGTTCTCTACTCGTACAGTTGCCCTTTGCTGTAAGTATAAATTTTTAATTAGGCGTAAATCTTTGTCATCAATACTAGATTCTTTCAGTATATGAAATAATTTTTGATGTTGCACCTTGTCAAATGCTTTTTCAAATTCTATAAAGCATGCGTAGACTTCGCAATTTACGTATCGAGCTCTTTGTATCAATACTTGTATGGAAAATAGGGCCTCTCGCGTTTCCAGTCCGCTTCTAAACCCAAACTGAACACTGTTATGGTTTTCTTTAAGTTTTCTATTATGCGAGAGTGAATAACAGAAAGAAGTATTTTGAGTGCATGGCTCATTAAGCTTATAATTCTGTAATCAGAGCATCTGCTGGCATTTGCCTTTTTGGCGAGAGGGATGAAGGTGGAAACTGGCCAATCTGTAGGAAATTCTGCTATATCATAGATTTTGTTCAGTAGACTCGTTAGGAGTTTGACTTGGTTGTTTTCAAATAGTTTTAATATTTCAGCTTGTATGTTATCAGGTTCAGGTGCTTTGTTGATTTGTAGTCTTTTTATTGCATACATTACTTCACTAAGCGTTATTTCTGGTCCTGAACATCCAGAAACACTGACTTCTGTCTCCCTTCCTTGAATAATTCTTCTATGTATTGCCTTTATCTCTCAAGTATTGTCTCATTTTCATAGAGTAGATTGTTGTGTTTGTCTAGTATTAAGTTATGACTTCGTGATCCGTTTCCTCCCGTTAAGTTTTTGATCTTTTTATGTAGGTTAAAAGTGACATACTTCTGTTCTAGGGATTCTATTTCTATGCATTGATCTTGTAGCCATGATATTTTGCTTCTTTAATCGTTTTTCTTAACGATTTTTTTTATTTATTTCTTGGTACCTTTCCTCATTCTTATTTCTGTATCTTCTTCGTTCTTCCACTTGCTCTAATATTTCTTGTCTCATACACGGCTGTTTGTTTATATTGTTTTCTGGTTTAAGTTTATTATCTACCACTGAATTACAGATATTTTTGATTTTATTCCACATATCATCCACACTTATGTTTTCTTGATTAATATCTGAGATTACCATGCTGTTTATTTTATTGTTGATCTCCTCTTTGACTTCGTTTCTTGTGGTTCTATCTTTCAACTTCTGGGTGTCCGGACGTTTTTGTGCTTTTCTTTTATGGACTTTTTTCATGTAGAGTTTGAAACGTCCTAGTACAAGATTATGGTTTGATGGAACACCTGCTCCCGGATATGTTTTTGCGGATTTTACGGAATTCTGAAATCGTTTGTTGATGATCATGTATTTAAGCTGGTTTCTAATCTTTTTTTTTTGGACAGTCAGCTGAAGATTTTCAGGTGTAGAGTCTTCGAGGTGGTAATTGGGTGTTCATTATTGCACTATCCGTTTCCTGGCAGAACTGAACAAGGCGGTCTCCTCTATCATTTCGCTTTCCTATAAAACATTATATACATTCCTATAAAACTAAGTACATATACGTATCATACACATATATTCCTATAAAACTAAGTACACATTTGTTAACTTCTTTATTTACTATTATAGCCACTCCTTTTTTGTTTCTTGTTGTAGTATCTCCACAGTAATATATTGTGTGATTTTCTATTTCGCACTGGCCTAAATTGGGCCATCAAACTTCACTGCATCCAAGTATGTCAATGTTGAGTCTTCGCATTTCTTTAATTACGTTATTCACTTTTCCGGCCTGGAATAAACTTCGTACATTCCATGTACCAATCTTCTTATCATGCTTAAATCTTGATACTTGTTGTGGCAACCGTGGAATTCTTAGCACCATCTCCCGACTTACTGGGGGTGCCTGGGACTAAGTGCTGTTTCTATATTGACTTAATCGATTGTTATTACACTATATGTGATATGTGAGAGGATTTATTTGTTTTGGTAGGGATCTTGGGATGGGGACATCACTTCCCCGACACGGGTTTAGGGGCAACCATGGCCCGCGTGGGCAGGGTTGCATACCTGAAGTAGATCTATCTCATACCGGGATCGTACAAGATTATATATCCGCTACTACCAAAATTGTAACTACCATGTATTAAATAAATAATCTTTCGTGGGGTTTTGAGTCATTCTTAATAATAAATGTCAAGTCACGTACGAAATTAAATCTTTTTGCATTTCTATATTTTCAGATAAGGTGATAGCACTGTATCCATATTCAGCAGGAAATCCGGACGAATTAACATTTGCAAAAGATGATATCATTAGTGTAACTGCTAGAGAAGAAGAAGCGTGGTGGAGGGGTGAATTAAACGGAGTATCAGGACTTTTCCCCAGTAACTATGTCACACCGTTGCAGCAATGTAAGTACACTTGATATTATACACATAGAATATCGAAATTGATAATGTAGAAGTAAAAAGCTATAGTTTTGTTTACGGTAATATTTTCTTTATAGCAGTTTAAAAGTAATAATTTGAAGCAATAATGTATAAAGAAAAATGTATACCAATTGGAAAAGAATAAAAAAATTATAAACCAAATAAATTAAAAAAGTAACTAAAACAAAAAAAAATCATTCTAATAATAAAAAAATTAAACTATAAGTTTAATTTAATATATTCTAATATAAAAAATTAAATTAAGTATAAAAATAAATAAATATTCGAAAAAACATAATCACTATGATAAAACTGGAAATATCTGGAGTTACCTTACTTTCCAAGTTATCTTACTTTAATGCCATGATACCATCATGGCATTACAGCAGCTTATAAAAGAAATATGGACACAGAAATCCCTCCCCAATGATTGGAATACTTTTCACCATACACAAAAAATCTTTGAATGCTCTAATAACAAAGGAATTACGCTTCTAAATGCAGCGTATAAATATTTTCCCCAGTACTATGTCACTGTATGGCACCCTATGCAGAACCGATAGCAGGAACATACTAGGCTGGTTTTAGAGGTGGTAAATCGACAATTCATCAGATTGCAACCCTGAAACAAATTTTGGAACAAACAGTGGAATATGGCATTGATACTCATCACATATTCATAGACTACAAAGCAGCATACGACTCTGTGAATAGAAGAGAAATGTTTAAAGCAATAAAAGAGGTAGGAATACCAAATCAGTTGGTAAATTTAACAAAACTAACTCTTGAGAAAATGTTGAATGTAGAGTACGAATTCAGGGGGAACTGTTTGAACATTTTAAAACAAATAATGGGCTGCGCCAAGAAAGACCTCTTCTGTATACTGTTCAATATGGCTGTAGAAAAAGTAACACGTATGTTACAATCACAACCAATGGGTTTAATAATAAACACCAACAAAACGAAGTATATGAAATTAAGCACGCAACCACAAATTCTACGATCACTCGTTATAGAATAGAAAACGACATCATCGAAGCAGTGAACGAATTTGTATACCTCTCCTTAACACTGAAAATAATATTACTGCTGAGATAAACCGCAGAATTTACACGGCCAACAGATGCTATTTTAGGCTCACTCTCCTCCTTAAATCCACAATTATATCGATAAATACAAAAATAAGGATGTTTCGAAAGAAAAGTACTAAGGCGAATCTATGGAGCAATGAACGACAATGGAGTGTGGAGAAGAGGATACAACTTTAAACTTTATAGAATATACTAGGAACCTGATATCGTAAAACATTAAGATAGGACTTCTGAGGTAGATAGGACATATAATGCGGATGGAACAAAATAACCCAGCTAGAAAAACGCTCCTTGATAGACATATTGACCTGAGAAGAAGAGGAAAACTTAGAACAAGGTTCCTCCCACCCACAAATCCACCCCAACAGGCTAGCGAAGAACATTATGAGGCCCCAGGCAAACAGAAGGCTAAAGCTTCTTACTCCAAGCGATCTACCAACAAGATTTTATATTTTTAAATTTATTTTTTTTATTTTTTATGTTAACAAATAATTTGGTACTAAAATTATAATTTGATAGGTTATTGTCACTGGACAGTCTCCTGCAAGTCTCTTCTAATTTAATTAAACAATTTACTTATTGTAATCCTTATTATAGATTGTAAATAAATGGGATGTTCAAAAAAATTTTGGAATCGTAGTTACCTTGATGTAAATATGTAAAAAAAATAATTTAATAAATAAATATAATAAGATATAAATAAATAATGTAATATATATAAATAATAATTTATAAAATAAATTAATATTTAATTATATTATTAGTTAGTAGTTAAGGAACAAACTGTAACGCTCTGGCTTTTACTTCTACAAATCAAGTCATTACTCATAGTTTTATTTACTTTTCCTAGATGTCTCTAATTAACATTTCTCCCTTTTTGTTTTATTTTTAGGAACATTGCACCCATCCTACCATTCGAAGCTGAATAGTTTAACAAATAGAATCATTAGGATTTTTAGCATAATATCCGTTGTTAATATTATTATTCAGAATGTATGTGTTTTCTTAAGGCTAGGACTATCTCTACACATATGTGATTGTGCCCATTTTAATATGCCTTAAAGTAGCATTCGATATATAAAAATTACCAAATTCTGGTATAATTTCATAGTAAGATGATATACTTAGAAGAATCAATGTAGTTTGAATGTAGGTGTCTTACTATCAAGAGAGTAGCGTTTATCTTCATCGTAATCGGAGAGAGCTTTTGTTGTATTGATGAAATTAATTAAAATAAAAATATGGCGCTAAATAAGAACCACTTTTAAAAGAAATAGTGGTATCAATCAACACATATTGCAGCAAAACCACTAGGATTATTAAAAACACCTTCAGTGGAAATGAGTAGAATGGTAGTGACTACAAATTAAAATTGATATTGTACAAATAAAATTTGAGCAACAATATAAAGTTATATATTTTTTAAACTGAAGACTCCGTATTTTATACTGGTAAGCACTTTTCTGAAAAATCTTAAGGTATCTATCCATTCTGGATAATAAACCATAACATTTTTAAAACATTTGAAGAAAAGAACATTGTTTTCTTCCTGGCCCATCTTTTCCGTAAACTTTTTCTTGTAAAACCAACTGAAGAAGTCCATATTGCTCTTCGTTTTTCATTACAAGATCTAGAAACTCCAGCTCTTATATTATTCATAATCTCAGGGAGCTGGCAGACTTACTTCGAAGTAAGTAGTTTACTAAGTTCATGACACCATCCAGAAAATTTTGTTAAAGCGCATTAGTATAAAATCCAAAATAGTTTGTCGCTTACGAACCTCAGTATGCAATAATAACTGCTTATGCAATACAACAATGATTCGAGATTATAGATGGATTTATATTTTTCACGCGAGCCTGAATACCGGTCATAGCCCGAGCACCGTCCGCACTAACTGCCACACATTTATCCCACGGTATTTCATGAGTGTACAGAAAGTTGTTCAATACTTCAAATATCGTCTCACCTGTAGTATGCGAAGGCAGACGTCTACAAAACAGAAAATCCTCCAATATTCCGTCGTTATATTCGTAGCGAACAAATCCAAGCAAATTGGCGTCATTGCTAATATCTGTGCTCTCATCTAATTGCAAAGTATAAAATCTGCTCGCTTCAACATTAATTTAAAATCGCTTGCTGTTTAAAATTTCCTGACATGTCATTAATTATATTGTTCTGAGGCTTTATATTGAAAAATGATTGAGATTTCTCACGAAGGTCTTGGTGTTTTGTTTCTAAATGACTTTGGAATTTGGCCGATTTCATTGACTCATTCGAGAAAACTTCGTAGCATATGACGCACTGAGGCCTTTCTTCGCCGTTTAAATTGATACATGTAAATCCGAAAGCTAAGTAATCGTCACAAAACTTACGACGTTTAACCTTTGAAGTCGATGGTCTTTCATTTACTTCGGAATCGTTTGGTTTTAACCAGCGTTTCATTGTCACAATCACACTAAAAATGTAATACTTATGTATAAATTTATCTACACTTCAACGCAACACAGTGCAAAACAATGCGTGTAAACAAAACACACGACCAATAAAATGAATGTAAACAATAATTTCAATCCTTAAACTATATAGAACAGATTACGGGACCATGGACCATTGACTCATTGAATAGACAATTCGAATGTATATAATTTTACAGTTTTGCAGCGTAAGGGTTTCGCCGCTCTGGGAAACTGAAATCAGCGTTTGAACGATCCTTTGTTGTTCATGTACTAATTTGACCGAGCAAGGTGTCGCGATCACACAGTTCGTTTCGTAAACACTAGACAGCGTCATTCGTAGGTATAATTCATAAGGTCATTCGAACGATAGGGTCACAGAATGTGATTGTATCAATCATGGATCTTCGAAAAGATTCGATCGGATCCTTTGTGATCTTTTTATCACTATTAGCGCGCTTTGTATGTTGTTTTTTTTTGTAGTGATCGCTGACATTTATTTATTAATTTAAACGTCCAAAGGTAAGACCGCGGACCCCCAGGGGTCCGGGGACCACAGGTTAAGAAACGCTGCGCTAGAGAACCGGAATTTACATATAAAATCTCGCGTTCATTTCCCATGTTTCTAATCTCTTCAATGTTAGTGTTATTAGCAAACCAAGAAAATTTCACACTACGCTTCATTTTACAAATACTGCCGATTTCTTTATCAATGATTGAGAAAAGATCCTATCATTCAATTTATTTTTAAATACCTAGTATAGTACCCATTGTAATCAAAGCATTTTAGCTTTTGCTATACATACATTTGCACATTAGAAAAGGAAAGGTATAGAAATAGTAAAAATCAGTGTAGCTGGCAAAGTATTTAGAGAATGATCTCCATTGTAGTTGTCAGAAGAAATAAACAACATTACTGGTTAATCATTCTGGGAAACAATATAACATGCACAATAATGAGATCAATGGGCGGCAATAGGCAACCGAACGACTTGATTCTTCTTCTTGCATTCAGCATCTCCTGTGGAGTTCGCTGATTAATATAACAATTTTCTCTTTCGAAACTGCTGTACCGAATAATTCGATGGATGCCATTTTGAACCATCCACGGAGGTTTCGCAAACAAGAAGTTCTTCTATGTCCCACGATTCTTCGAAAAACTATCTTTGTTTGCATTTAAAGCTGTAGGAAATCATATGTTGTGACTATAGAAACGTGGCCAAGGAACTCAACTTTTCTGTTCTTTATAATAAATATAATCTCAGGAAAATTTTTCTATATATGAAACCTTTAATATACGTTTAAATTAGAAATGAAACGGTAGAGTTGCATTTAAAAATATACGACTTTATATTATTTCTTCAATATGGGATACCACAACACACACAGACATACATATATATATATATATATATATATATATATATATATATATATATATATATATATATATCCAATTTTAATTTGAAGAGATTATTACAAACATAACGTGTATCTATAAACGCAATTTTGAATAATGTTGATCATTTTGTCGGTTGTTGTCGGTTTCCGTGCCTAGAACGTGGCGCAATCTGTAGACACGAAGCAATAAATATTTTGAATTGGAAATAATTTGTTCCAAAATGTAGGAACGAGGCATAAGTAAACATACTAAAAACATTTATTTATGAAACATATATAATAATAGTCCCTTTTTAACATCACTAGAGCGATAATGAATTCGAATATAATATGGGCCAGTGCTACGCTTCAACCTAATATTATTAACTCCAATTTTATCCAAGACATTCATTTTATTCAGCTTGACTCTGGATATAATGGATAAATGTTTACACAACTCGATGTTATCGCAGCGAATTCGGATTTTCCCCATGGTAGATACTTTTTATAGTTTGATTTAAAACTGACTCATCAACTTCGTAAATAAATTCAATAATTTATTGATTTATTTTGAAATAACTGATAAAAAAACGCAAATATATTGAAATACAGTAAAAAATAATTACAGTTTCAGTCAAACAATAAGATAACCTTAAAACATGAACATTAGCAGTAAATATCTTAATACTTTGATATTCTTACCTCACAAATTTACAAACAACAAATAATGCCAATCGCACAGAATGAATGTTCATAACCAAAAATTCTTATTTACCCTTCAAACAATTAAGAAACCAATATTTCTAACTTCTTGTGGGACAAATATACAGGAATTAAAAATGTTTATAAACCTTTCCTAAGCCCCGCCTATTGTGACGTCAGACTTATGTAGTCCAGTTTGACATGGCATGACATCTGACATCATAGCCGCCATCTTAAAAAGTATTTGAAGGGACGGACTTCCTTTTCGCCTTTATGCTCCAAGATACGGTATTTATCTTTATTCACAGATAATATGAACTTCAACTTTTAAAATGTTTTAGATCCCTATAATACTATTTGAATAATCAACGAACATTTTAAATATTATAATTTCGTCTTTATATTAAAGATTTACATCAACATCACAGTACAACAAATTTAAAGAGGACATTTCTTGAAATAAATTTAATGTACTCAGTCAGAATTATTTTCTTTCTTATTTACATCTATATCTTTCTATTTATGTCGTTACTTCCTCAATATTTATTTGCAAACAATTTTGTTTTGTGGTAATCGTTGATTAGGGTTTTTAACGTTTCACATAATATATAACAAATAGTACTTTTATCTGCTATAATGATATTTTTGGTTACTGATATAAAGAAGTTTTGTTGCATAATTTAACGTAAGTATGTATGTCATAAATAAATGTTTTTAAAAAAAGAAAACTGATATTATATTCACTAATTACAATTTCATAAGCTATTTTGACTAAAATTACTTTAAAGTAACATTAAAATAAATAGTTCGGAAACAGTGTTACTGGATGCAATAAAGCTGTATTAAAATGAGCTCAACCGCCGCTTTTAATATTTAAAATATAATTGGTAAAATGTACCAAGCAAAAACGCAAAAAAATATTTGTTGACACCAATAAAAATAAAACCTCTAATGACTTCCGTTAGATTAAAATAAGTAAACCTCACAGTCTTAATTCATTGCATCAATTTTGTGTACATCCTGAAACTCCACCTTTTCAAAGATTTTCAACTTTCTTTTTGTTTTTTCTGTCTGATCCATGTGTCGCATCCATAACACTATTGGTCTAATAATAGTTTTGTAGACCCTAATTTACGATCTCCAATGTATGTTTTTGGAGCTGAATAAGAGCGAGTGAAAAATAAGCTTTGTTTCGATTTACTATTCTTCTTTGAGTTTCTGATTCTTCTGTTCCATCCATCCTAAATTCAACTCTCAAATATGTGAAAGTTACTGTTTCAATATTGTCCCCTTATTCAACTGTGCGTCTGTTTCCCCTAGCTTCTGTCCGTGTAAGCTTTTTTGTTTTTTGAATATCCATTTCTAGTCAGGTCTCTTTTGAGTTTGTTTTTAATTGTGAATATATTTCTGCTACCTTTTGATGATGTCAGCGGCATAGGCGGCAATCTGTATTGA